GAGGGCCTAGGCAAAGTCTAACCCCTCCTAAGGTCCCAACAATAGACTTCCTTTTGATGCTACCAAAGCCCCCACTCAGGGAACCAATGACCTCATTGAGAGTACTTACTATGGGGTTACTGACTACATCATGAGATCCCTAAAGCAGCTACTGCAGGGATGAAAGCTTTCTAATCAATGGCCACAGAGGTGCAGCTCCCCTCCCTGCTCTCTCTGACATTCTCTAGCCTTGCCCTGAGGCAGAATTGCTTACAATTTTTTGGAAGAGTAGCTGGATGCTTATCAGGGTCTCCTGCCTCTCACCACACTTACTCTGGAAGTCAGCAGTCACAAGCCCAGCAGGCAAGGCTGAACAAAGAAGGTGGGTGTTTGACTCTGAGAATAGTAGTGTACAACAGCTCCATAAACAAAAACAAAACCCAAAGAAGAGGGAGGACTGGTTAAAGAGCTTCGGGACCGCTGCCTACAGGTAGGCCTTTAGAAGGGCACGAAGCCAGTATTTCCATACTGAATAAGAAATTAATCTTCGGGCTGGAGAGATGGCTCAGAGGTTAAGAGCATTGCCTGTTCTTCCAAAGGTCCTGAGTTCAATTCCCAGCAACCACATGGTGGCTCACAACCATTTATAATGGAGTCTGGTGCCCTCTTCTGGCCTGCAGGCATATACACAGACAGAATATTGTATACATAATAAATAAATAAATATTTTAAAAAAAGAATTAAAAAAAAAGAAATTAATCTTCTTGCCGGGCGATGGTGGCGCATGCCTTTAATCCCAGCACTCAGGAGGCAGAGGCAGGGATCTCTGATCTCTGTGAGTTCAAGGCCATTCTGGACTACAAGAGTTAGTTCCAGGACAGCTAGGGCTGTGACAGGGAAACCACATCTCAAAAAGCAAAAAAAAAAAAAAAAAAAAAAACACTCTTTCAAACTGCCAGTGTTGATCTATGGACTGCAGCAGTACAATGGGCTGTGCTCCCGCAGGGATGGTGAGATGCTCTGGGGTGTATTGATACCTCCAGTTTCATTCTTTTCTCAATGTTGGTCTTCACATCACCTCAAGGCTTAGACTTGTCAAGGAACAAGTATCATGAGGCAATAGTCTTGAAATGAGACACTGTACAGAACTGGAAGGCAGAAAAAAAGATGTGTTCATTGTGATGCTTCTGTAGATGGTCAGTTTGTTTCTCATAGGGAAATCCTGGGCCACCTGTCACTCCTAAGGAACTGCTGTTGTAAGCAGCTCATCAGCAGTTAAAGTTCATGAAGCCTTGTTAGGAATATGGAAAAGGAAGGAAGCCACAGGACTGCCCCTTCAGTCTGGGAAGATCTGAATGAGTCTGCACATGCAAAAATGACTTGAAATTTATGTACAGACACTTGTATGAATCCATCTTCAGTTGACTGAATGTTGTTAAGATAGCCCTTCTCCAAAGCAGGGGTGGAATGTTCTTCTTTCACCACACATTTTATAAACATCTCCTTTTTTTTTTTTTTTTTTGAGACAGGGCCTCACTATGTAGACCAGACTGGCTTTGAATTCACAGTGATCTGCCCACCTCTGCCTTTCAAGGGATGAGATCAAATACATGCACCATCTGCCCAGCCTAGACTGTGTATACATATATATGCATATGAATTATGACTGGAGTGTGTGTGTGTTAGGAGTTAGGTGTGGAGAAACAAACTGTAATCCTAACATTGGGGAGGAGGAGGCAAGATGTAGATAGCAAGTTCAAGGCCAGCCTAGACTACAGAGTGAGTTCTGAACTGAGGGACAAAGCCTTTGCTCAAGAAACAAAGGGAAGGGGCTGGAGAGATGGCTCAGAGGTTAAGAGCATTGCCTGCTCTACCAAAGGTCCTGAGTTCAATTCCCAGCAACCACATGGTGGCTCACAACCATCTGTAATGGGGTCTGGTGCCCTCTTCTGGCCAGCAGGCATAAACACAGACAGAAAATTGTATACATAATAAATAAATAAATATAAGAAAAATAAAAGAAACAAAGGGAAGAAAGGATGACAGGAAAGAGGAAGGAAGTACATTCTGTAGGAACTAGAAACCAAATCACTGTGTGGAGCAATGGGAATTTCTATAACCTCCGACGACCTAGTAGGTGAGCTACTAATGTGGAGAGCAAGCTGATAATGCATCAGGAACATGCATTTTTATCCGGTATCTTTAGTAACTGCACCTTTGGGAATGTAGAAAGAGACAGCAAAAATATGGGCAATGTTCCTAAAAGCATTGATAAAATAACAAAACAGAAGCCAGGAAGAGCACATAAGAACAAAGCCAAGGGTTAATAAGTTATTGTGTTTGGGATATTATATGCTAAAAATAAGCCAGCAAAAGCAACACTAAAACTTGCATTATTTATTTTATTTTTGGTTTTTCCAGACAGGTTTTCTATGTGCATCTTTGGAGCCTATCCTAGAACTTGCTCTGTAGACCAGGCTGACCTCAGACTCACAGACATCTGCCTGCATCTGCCTCCCGAGTGCTAGTATTAAAGGCATGCATCACCACCATCCAGCTAAAAATTTTTATTATCTTTAATTATATGTGTGTGTGTGTATGTGTGGTTACCCACATGTTGCTGTGAGTACTCTTAGAAACCATGGACATTGGATTCCCTGGCGCTGGAATTACAGACAGTTGTGAGCTGCCTGATATAAATGCTGGGAACTGAACTCAGGTCCTCTGTAAGAACAAAGAGAATCCTTCTCAACAGAGGCTGCTCGTTTGTTTCCTGGCCGCCCAGATGCCCGACAGCAGATAATCACACAGAAACTATGTTAATTACAACACTGTTTGGCCAATAGCTTATGCATATTTCTAACTAACTCTTACATCTTAAATCAACCCATTTCTATTAATCTGTGAATCACCATGAGGTTATGGTCTACCAGTAAGGTTCTGACTGGCTGTTGGCATCATTCTTCTTTGGCAGCTACATGACATCTCTTTGACTCCACCTACTTTCTCTCTATATTCCTCTTCGGGTTTCCTGCCTGGCTTTACTCTGCTATGTCATTGGCCGAAACAGCTCCTTTAATAACCAATGGTAATAAAACATATTCATAGCATACAGAGGGGAATCCCACATCACATGCTTAACTGCAGAACCATCTCTCCAGCCCCTAATTTATTCTATGTTGTCTTTTGAGGTGCTAGGGGTTGAGCTCAGGACCTGGAATGTCCTAGCCAAGTATCCTACCACTGAACTACATCCCTCGTTCTAGTGTGGCCGAGAGTGCAAAGGAAGTTGTAGGAAGATAAAGGATATCACATCATTTTTATAGCTTTAAAATGTATAAAGTCATCATATATTGTTTTAAATACTTACACCTATAGAATATCCACTGATACACATGGATGGGAAAAGCAACAGGGCAGTGGTTGAAATTGCAGAACTAGCTTGTCCCTGGGGAAGCCAGGTGCTTCAACAATATTTGTGACATTTTTTCTTGAGAGTAGGGCTAATTAAATGAGTGAATAGATCTTAACTACAAGTGCAATTAGAAGCCACTCGATTCTTTCAGGATGGAGCCACACTATCCGAGAAGATGATCTGAGCTGGCCAGCAAACCACAAGTGTTGTGTCCCAGCTGTGGCCCTGCCCTCTACAACTAAGGAAGACTTCATACACTTGGGGCAAAGCAGATTGGTCCTTCCCAATGTGCATGGGATTTCCTGTCGCACCTGACTTGGCCTGGTCCCTCTCCTGCTCAGAAACTTGAAAGCTACGTTCCAGGTAATTCTAAGTTCTCTGCTATGGCTCAAAATTCAGACTTTAAATACTACTTTCCTTTCTGCTATATTTTGATAGCTATTTCTTGAATTATTTGTTTGTTGTTTTAAATAGGATCTCGTGTATCCCAGGCTGGCCTTGAACTCCCTATATAGTTTTGAGCACCCAATTCTCCTGTGTCCATCTCATGAATGCTTGGATTACAGGCATGCACTACCACACCCAATTCATGTGGCAATGGGCATCAAATTCAGAGCCCTGTGTGTGCTAGGCAAGCAGTTGGCCGACTTGGCTGCATCTCTGGCCCCTTCTTCTCTATTTCTAGTCATAGAGTCCTCCGAGTGGTCCTCTGGACCCCTGCCGTACTCTGAAAGTTTCTCCACTACTGAGGCGGTCCTCGGGAGGGACACTGAATTCATTCCTGTTCCACTTTCTGCTCCGGATCAGCCTGACAACTCCAGGGCCACAGACACTGATGTTAGCCGCTTGGGTTTTCAGGTTTCAGAGAGTATCCAGGCTCTGAAATACTTCATTTCCTTTCAGGCAAAAGACGAGATGAACTGGATTTCATTCATGTTCATTCCTGTGCCAAGTCCAGTAAAGTCAAGTTTCTGAATTTGTTTAAAAAAGCGTTTGAGGATGTGCTATGTGCATATAATATATTCACCAAATGCATCCCCTCTTTTCCCTCCCCTCCAATTTCTCCACATTCCCTTCTGATTTCCTGCACCTTTTTCTTTCAAACCCTCAGAGTCCACTTAGTGCTGTGTGCATGAGAGTGGGGCCATGTACTGCAGCCTGAAGGATGCATCCCTGAAGAAAACTCACTTTTCCCTCCTCCAGCAGCCACCAGTGGCCAGTGGCTCCCTAGCTAGGAGGGAGACTTCATGACATCTTCACCCAGTCCCTGCTAGAATTTTGTCTGCCCTGATTCTGCACAGCGCTTGTGCAAGCTGTCACAACCACTGCTGAGTACAGACTGTACACAGTATAACCGCCCTGTGGATCTGGAAAAGTTTCCCTGTAGCAGTCACCACCTCTGCCTCTCACAACCTTTCTGCTCCCTCCTGCCAGCCTGGTCTATAGAGTGAGTTCCAAGACAGCCAGGGCTATATAGAGAAACCCCATCTCTAAAACAAAAACAAAAGAATGCATCTTAATGTCATTTGTGTATTTCAAAGTGATACATTTTTTTTCTGTGTTTTAAAATTTATTTAACTTTTATTTTATGTGCATTGGTGTGAAGGTGCCAGGATTCCTGGAACAGACAGTTGTGAGCTGCCACATGGGTGCTGGTAATTGAACCCCGTCCTTTGGAAGAGCAACCGGGGCTCTCAACCACTGAGTCATCTCTCCAGCCCCAGTACTTATTTCTTTACACAACAAGCCAGAGGAGCTGGGGTGTACTGGAGGAGAGACTCCGGTGAATGGCAGGTGTCCCATAAGTCTGGTCCAGTTAATAATCTATTCAGTGATATTTTGTCTGCCATGTGTTGCTATAGTCAGCAGAGTACTAGGTTGAATAAATTTGAAAATAATGAGTCATAACCCTTCTCACAAGCTACTTACAATGTCATGGAACAAGGCATATGCGAAACTACAGGTCAAATGTAATAAACTGGATTTCATTTTAAAAAATGAATTTCAAACTACAAAATTGTGACTACCTTAGAAAATAGGGTAGTATAAAACAGAAGCAATCAGCCCTCATTTGCAGATTCTGCATTTGCGAACTGCCTAGTCCCTAAAACCTATCTCTAGTGCACAAGCCGATCCTTTCAGTGTTTTCACAGTAACCAACTTTAGTTGCCTAGTGTGCTGTGTTCCTAGCTGAGACTGAGTAAGGCACACTGCCCTCTTGAGTTTCCAGGTTGTAAGAAAGCAACGTTTTTACAGCCTACTTAATCCACACTTGACTGGTTTTGCTGTTTTCTAAAAACGGTCCCTAAACACACTGCTGTAAGATTCTGAAGGGACAAAGGAAATGATGTGATATATAGAGAAAATATGTATACTAAATAACCTTCGTTTAGGCATGGATTGGAATGCGATTGGACCTGGGTTTAAAGTTAGTGAAGTAACAAGAAACATGCATAAAACAAGATTTCATATTGGCTGATGAAAACGTCATCAGAAGCCAAGTGTGACAGTACATGCCTGTAATCCCAGCACTGACATCGATGTGAGGTGAGTTTGAGGCCAGTATTTATCACCTAGCAAGATTTTTTTTTTTTTTTCAGAATGTATGCGTTGTGCGCGCACGCATGTGTGAAATCAGGCACTCAACTTTCCTCGTAATTCACGAATTCAGCATTCCTGGCATGTTTATACAATTTAACTACTTCAGAGAAAGAGAATCAGCTACACTGTGAAAGTAAAGTATTTCTCAAAATTAACAGAAGGGGGAACAAAAGAAACAAAACCCCCGAACTTCCCCAAGAAAATATACGCAGCTCTACTAAAACAAACTCCGCAAGCAGCGACCCTAGCTCCCGGTGCCCTCTGCTTTTGGCCTCGCTCTCCTTCCTGTGTCTTCCTATGTTTTCCAAGAATCTCCGACTCCTACGCTAGATCTCACAGACACGGATAATCAACACAACGTAAGTACAAGTGTGTTCCCCCGTGACATCCTAAATTAGACTGTAAGCCCCACCTGCCCAAAGACAGGTAACTTCCAGGGATTCTGGGAGTTGTAGTTCTTTAAAAAAAAAAAAAAACAAAGTCTCATGAGAAAGTACGGTGGCCTATGAGTTTTGACAGTAAAAGCCACCCCCCTTACACACACAGGTATCTCAGGGCCACTCAGCTAGAAAGTTTCAGGGAGTGATCCTGACCAAGGTCCATCGTGGACAGTATTTAAACTTTAGTGAAAACATCTTTTAAATATGGCCCGAAAATGGTGGGATCAGTTTTATTCCGGCGAATCGCAGAATCAACAGTATTTAGATGTATTCCCACAAAATTAATTTATAAAAATCTGAAGTCCGAAGTTCTATGGAAACCTACAGAACAGTATTTCCTCAACATCTATCTGCCTTTTGGATCTGCCCGAGCACGTGAAAAACACACCAAGTCTCCATCAGCGCCAGCTCAGAGGTGTTCATAGAGACGTCCGGCACTAGCGTTCTGCTCCTTTAAGAGGCGGTCCGAAGTTTTGCCCTACGCGGAAACGGCTTCCCGCACACACTCTGCGCATGCCCAGAGTCGCGCAGTCGAAGGACTTGTCCCAGAAGGCAAGATGGCGACCCAGCCTACGGAGAGACGCTCCTCCCAGCATGCCTAGCGGCCGGGCCGGAGCCGAGGCGGAGTGATGGAGATCCGGCGGGACCCTGCGAGTGGCCGGGGCTGAGGCGCAGCCGCGAGCCTGAGCGTTGGACGCTCGCCGAGAGCTGAAATGGAGACGTGGCGCTGTGTGCGGAGGGGCTACGGCCGCTGTGTGGCGGGGCGAGGCCGGTCAGTCGCGGCGGGAGGGAAGAGGAAGGGGCGGGCGGCCCGGGGCGGGGCGCGGGAGGGAGGGAGGAAGGCGGAGGAAGAGGGTCCGCAGCGGGGACGCGCCTGGCGGCGCCGAGGGAGAGGTAACGCGCGGGCGGCTGGCCGGGCGGGCGGCGGCCTCCAGGGTCCGGCTGGCCTCGCGCGGCCCCCACGCTCGCCGCCACCCGCACGCGAGGCCCGGCCTGGAGGGAGGCCGCGCTCGCCGGGGTGGCTGGGCCAGCGCCCTCTGCTCACAAACTTCGGTCAGGCGGAGGCCAACTTTGCTGGGCACCCTCAAGTTCTCACTCCATCCTGAGTATTTTTCTCAAAGTTCATTCATTGAGAGTCGGGCGCGATGCTCACTCCTGTAATCTCAACACCCAGGAGGCTGAGGCAGGAGAATAGCTGTGAATTTGAGGGTGGCCGGCATTAGACTGAAACTCCGCCTCTCACCCACCCCCCAAAAAAACTTGGAATTTTAAAGCGCCACAGTACATACTTCTTCTATTAATATCACCCCAAATAGTGCCCGCCGAATCGTAGATTTGATGCCCTGGTTGTGTTTTTCTTTAATAAACTTTGAAGACTTAGATGTTACGATTCCAAAGGTTTGTGTAACCTTTCAAACCGTCTGGTGTGCCACGCGTGGGAAATAGCACGGCAACATTACATAAGCCGTTGGGATCCGCCAACTCCGTTATGCCTGGTTCCTCCTGGCAGTTGTGAGTGCCAGCTGTGTACCAGGCATCGTGCTAGGTAGTCTGTTGGCTAGAGACGGGGCTTAAGGTGAATGGAGAGGTTCTGGCCTTCAGAAAGGATAGTGGTGTAGTAACTGCCAACCCAGAGTGTCAAGTGCAGGGCGCAGTGTAGTCTCATACCAAGACAGGAAACAACAGTGCCAGCACCGGGAAGGTTGCAGCAGGAGTAAGGATTAAGAGTTCAGGACCAGCTTGTCCTGCACGGTACCCTGTCTCAGAAGAAAAAAAAATTGTTTTTGCTTCTTTTTTTTGTTTTTTGTTTTTTGTTTTGTTTTGTTTTTTGTTGTTGTTGTTTTCAAGAGACAACAGGGTTTCTCTGTAACCGTGGCTGCCCTGGAACTCTTTCTGTAGACCAGGTTGGTCTTGAACTCAGAGATCCACCTGCCTCTGCCTCCTGAGTGCTGGGATTGAAGGTGTGTGTTGCCATGCCTGGCTCAAAAAAGTTCTTTTTGAATTTTAAAAATAAAAAGGTCCAGGTGCTGAGATCCCTACAAATGATAGTCAGTGGCCATGTTGTGATAGATAGTGCCCATGCTGTGCCTTTAAATATTTATAGTCAGTTTGGTTTAGAGAGCAGTTCGAGATATAAGTTTCAAATATATACTAATCAAAGCTAAATGGTTTTAAATGAAAGCTAGCATTGATAAGGAAATGCAACTTCTGCAGACTCCCACTAGCGATAGTAGATGTTGACACAGGAACTCAAGGGAATGGAGTCCTCTGAGTCCCCAGCCAGAGGATGCAGCGAAAAGTCAAGTTCAGTGCTTTTTGAGAACTTGAGAGCAGCATGTCTGTTCAACAGAAGCTTGGTGAACTGGGAAGATGGCTCAGTTGGTTAAGTGCTTGCTGTCCAGCACAAGGACCTGAGTTGGAACCCCTAGCAACCATGTAAAATCTGGGAGTGGTGTCACCTGTTCATAACCCCAGTGTTGAGGAGGCAGGAGCAGGCTCCCAGAGCTTGCTAATCTGCTAGTCTAGACAACTCAATAGTTCCAGCTTCCAAGTTCAAGGAAAGATCTTGTCTCTCTCAGAATCCAAGGTCAAGAACAATAAAGACACCTGCCAGGAACCTCTGGCTGTGCACACACAAGCCCTAGCAACTTCACACACAGGAAACAGTCTTATTGTACTCTGCTGAAACTGATGCCATCGAGTTTGGGTATAGATGGATTCCTGGTAAATAGATAGTCCTTATGCTCCTTAATTTTCCCCGGGGCTGTGTGATTAAGAACGAGGAAAGAATGGAAAAGCTTGTTCTCCACCCATTGGTTAGTAAGGGAAGTAAGTAGCTTTATCAGGTCAGAACCCTTTCACGGATTTTAGATTTTAGCTTTACCAGTATTTGGGAAGAATTTAACTTTGGTATAAAAGTGCTGTTCCAAAACATGTTTTTACTCTAAACTCAAGTTGGAAGGAAACAGGCTTTTTCTTACATTCTAATATCTGTGTCATATTGAACTGTTAGGTTTGTTATGGGTTTGTCTGTTTAGTTTTTGAAATCTAAACACAGATTTTTTGGTGGACTAACTTCTCAGTTGGATTGTGGATGAACTTTTTGGGGTGTCTGGTGTTTTCTTCTTGAGGTGCTGGTGCTGGTAGTTAAACGTGAGTGCTTTCCTCTTCATTCTTGCATGCACCTTTGTCTCTGTGGCGCTCAGGGACAGGCGTGAGCTGCCATGTGGGTGCTGGGGATTGAACCCAGGTCTTCTGGAAGAGCAGCTATCTCTCTAGCTCAAAGTTTGTTTTGTTTTGTTTGTTTGGTTGGTTTTTTAAGTTTTGTTTTCGGTTTTTGTTTTTGTTTTTTTTTTTGGTTTGGTTGTTTGTTTTGTTTTGTTTTGTTTTGTTTTGAGACAGGGCTTCTCTATGTAGCCCTGGCTGTCCTGGAACTCACTCTGTAGACCAGGCTAGCCTCAAGCTCAGAAATCCACATGCCTTTGCCTCTGCAGTGCTGGGATTAAAGGTGTGTGTCATTACTCATTGGCCATTCTTTACAGATTTAGAAGTAAATTTAAATATGAGATGATATCTTACCTGTAGAAAATAGATTTGGATTTTATGTACTATAGCTGAACAAAAAGTGGTACCTCAAGGAGTGTCTTTATTTCTTCCAGGTACTCCATGTTTCCCCATCCACTGAAGAGTTGGGGTCGAGACTGGAGCACACCGTGGGAAGATCTGCAGAGGTATTGTTGGAACAGACACATTTCCAGTTGTCTGCGGTGGCCTGGACACTACTCACGTGCGCCTTACCCATACTTGAGTAGCAGGCATTTCTCACTGAACTGCAGACCAACTCTTCTGGTTGACTCTGGGACTCAGTTTCAGTTCTATAATTGGAGACCTGACCATCTGCACAACACATCCTTGTTCCATCTCTCCAGTTACGTCATGAGCTCTGACAGAGATGAGCCCTCATCCAAACGAAGAAAACGCCATGGTAAAGGAGATGTTTATCTTGGTAAAGGGACAGACAGAATGATAGACTAAGTTGAAGCCATCATATCTAACCCTGAAGCCGTCTTCCATATCTTAGAGATGTGCTTATTTTTAGCCAGAAGCAACTGTGTTAGGGACAGTGTCTTTATCTTCAGCTGTGTCTCTTTCTGTGCATGTAGAAAAGGACTCTGAGACTGTATCAGTATATATGAGTAGATTTGTATAGTTTATGTCGGTACTCAAATAAGTAGGCTATATAAGAATATAAAAGTAGAAAATGACTCTACTGATTGAATAACAGTAGAAAGCAGAAGTAGATAAAGACACAAAATCTAAGAACAGTTTTCACGTCTAGCAGTTTTTGAAGTCTTGGATGACTTAGAGATTAAATTGGCAGTGGAAGTAGCTGATCTAAAAATATTTAATTTTGTGTTTTCATTTTAATAGTAACTATATAATGTAAAAGATTTTTTATTAGAAATAATTGTAAGTAGAATGCTACAGGATAAGATTTTAGCTTGTTAAGTCTGTATTTCCCTATTTAGAGTCTATAAATAAGTTACAGACATATTTTCCTTCTTTTTTTTTTCAAAAAGTATTTATTTATTTATGTATTTATTATGTATACAATATTCTGTCTACATGTATGCCTGAAGGCCAGAAGAGGGCAACAGACCTTATTACAGATGGTTGTGAGCCACCATGTGGTTGCTGGGAATTGAACTCAGGACCTTTGGAAGAGCAGACAATGCTCTTAACCACTGAGCCATCCCTCCAGCCCTCCTTTTTTTTTCAGTGCTAGGGATTGAACCCAGCACCTTGTACTTGATCTGCCACTGAGCTAAATGCCCAGTCCTAGAGAGACTCAAGAGAGAGTCAGAATTATTACCTTTGAGAAATTGAGCCATATCTTAGTCAACTTTGTGGAACTCTTAAAAAATCCATTGATTCCGTCTACTTTTCTCGTGCTGTTTCACTCCTAGACAGCTCGTGTACTCCCACCCCACTCTCACCCCAGTGTGTAGTGAGGTGTATAAGAGTTCGGATTGCCTTTCTCATTGAACTTTAGAGGAGGCTGCATGGGAGCCTGCTGTAGGGAGCTGAAGCAGAGGTGGAAGAACTGAAAGGGAGCTCCTGAGCCCTTAGGGTTCAGGCTCCTTGTTCTTCGTTACCAGAAAGTTCTCTGGGGAATTCACCTGGTCCCAAGGCAGAAATGATTAATTGCTACAGTTACAAGCTAGTTCAAATAAACATACATGTAAGTAGATGCTAAGTCCTTGGCCATGGAAATCTGTGTGTGTAATAGGTCACTGTAAGTGGTCCTATGTAGACGTTGGAACCAGGTTCTCAGAAGGACCCACTTGTACATCTGTGTGTTTGCTGCTCATCAGGCCAACTGCAACCTTTGGTAATTTCGTGCGCTCCCAGATGGCATCCTGAAATGCAGCGTAAGCGTGGTAAAGTCAGGAAGCACTCCCTGCCCTCATGTATGCCTTGCCACTGTGCCATGAGCTTGGAAAGGTCACCTAAAACTCCTTGGCTTTCTAGTGTAATAAACGACACTTATTTTGAATGTCTGTTCAGGACAAAATGAGGTATGTTGACATGCCTACCATACTATTGGCTTCATAGTGACTTCTCAGAAACTTGTGGTGGTGGTGTTTCCCAGAAATGGATGGGGAGTTACATTTATAACTGATAATCTCTGGTTGCTATCTGACTTTTTATCTGTCCATTCTTCCTAGGTGTTAAGAATAAGGAAAAGGCTCTTCATTAAGCCATATATGTGACTTCCGATATTTCACTAATACTTTACAATCAAGAGAACAGCATTACTAATTTGCCTATCACTTTAAAGTATTTGAAGGATTTGTGTGACACAATTATGACTTTTTAATTAGGCGCCCCAGTACCTGCTCATGCCCAGTACTTACTTTCTTTGACTCATCTCTCTTCTCTGCTGTGATCACCTTGTTCCTCCTGACATGGAAGGTATATAAGCTTTTGCAGTGTGAATTTGTTGTAACTATGTGATGGCCAGAGACTGTTGACTGTGTCAGTGGTTTGGAGGAAGTCCTCCATGGAACCTAGCATTTGAACACACTTGCACCTGTTTAGTAAAACAAAATGTGGTCAGGATGAACTGTGTTTCCCCCTCAGGAAAGATTTGGTTTTCTTGGGACAGGAAAAGCAATGTCAAGAGCTCCTTAACCTGTAGAAGTTCAAAAGCCATGACATTAATCAAGTATCCACTGGTCCTGGTTATTTAAGAAGAACCATTGCAAAGTCGTTGTAATAATCATGATGTATTTTTATGTACACTCTGTACATATAAGAAACAGTGAATGAGTGTTCTAAACATTCATTTTTTTTTATATTTCATCACAGTAGTGACAGAGGATGGTGCTGTAGTGGGGGTGAAAGCTTACACGTCGCAAGATGGAACCCTTCCATCTTATGAAGACTTAAGTCTGTGCCATGGGGCACCCCCAATTTGTGATTGGGGTCCTGTAACTGTCAGTGTATCTGTGGAGCTAATACTGTTACCCTTAATCTTAAGCCTTTGGGATGGGATTCTCCATGTTCAGTGCAGGATAGGGAAGAATTAACTTCTTTTGCTCATCCAGGCATGAGGCTGCTTTGGGAAGAATTCTCAATTGTCAAAAGATTTTTCTCTATTTTGATTTTGTTTCTTTCTACTTTTTTTTTTTTTGGTTTTTGAGACAGGGTTTCTCTGTAGCTTTGGAGCCTGTCCTGGAACTAGCTCTGTAGACCAGGCTGGCCGCAAACTCACAGAGATCTGCCTGCCTCTGCCTCCCGAGTGCTGGGATTAAAGGTGTGCGCCACCACTGCCCTGCTTTCCACCTTTTTCTAAGCCCTTCCCTTAGCATCTTCATACCATCAGCTCCCTCGTCCCATCCAGTTCTCACTAATTATGCCGATTATCCTCTGTCTGTCAAATGCTAATCCCTCCATGCAGCAGGTGGATACCTAGATAGAGGAGAGTAACCTGCTGTGATGAACTCCCATAACGTACTGTATTGGCAGCTGATAGAGTATGGGTATTCTGACTGTGAACACCTTGTCATTGTAGAAGACTATTTTAAAACAGTATTTTCTTTTCACTCTGCGTGTAAGTTAACTGTTCCCATGTATTTCCTTTTTGGTTTGGTTTTGGAGACATTGACTCACACTGTAGCTCAGAGGCAGGCGGATCTCTGTGAGTTCGAGGCCAGACTGGGCTACAAGAGCTAGTTTCAGGACAGGATCCAAAACTACAGAGAAACCATGTCAGTCCTTTTAACTCTTGACAGTCCTTTTGCCTTGTCCTCCTGAGTGTTGGAATTACAGGAGGAAAGCCTCATGCTCAGGCAGCTCCAGTTAGAATTTTAGGCTTTGTAATCCAATGACATGAAAACCCACATGTAGGATAGAGGAAACCAGTCTGTAGATCTGTGGTCAAGCTGTCCTTTACCCTCAGCATGCTTGGCCAGCCACCTCCATCTGTTAGGTTTTCTCCCGTTGTTGAGTTTGTAGGCTAACTAAATGTTCCTCTTTTTCTCATTGCTTCCATGACACTAAACACATCCTCACTAATGTGACATGAGACATGGGATCAAAGATGAACGTACTTACTCATTTTTTTTTGGCACTAGGCAGTGAACCCACTTGTCAGATAAGTGCTCAACCACCAAGTAATTCCCAGCCCTTGCTTGTTTGTTTGTTTTTGTTTTATCTCCTTGAGAATAGTATGTTGGCCAGGCTAACCCTGAACTTTTTATCCTCCTATTTCAGCTTTTCAAGTGCTGGTACTGAGTGCAGGTCTGGATATGAGTACATACATATCACACATGTACCCTGTGTGCCCCTGGGCCTGAATAGGAGTTTGTGGATGTATACATTTACACATATGCACCCTCAGAAAATGATAATTTCTCAGTTGAGAAATATCTGTAATTACAGAATCTTTTCTTTTTTTTTTTTCCTTCGAGACAGGGTTTCTCTGTAGTTTTGGATCCTGTCCTGAAACTAGCTCTTGTAGCCCAGGCTGGCCTCGAACTCACAGAGATCCGCCTGCCTCTGCCTCCTGAGTGCTGGGATTAAAGGCCTGTGCTACCACTGCCTGGCAGAATCTTGTATTTTCTTTTCTACTTTGATTGCTTTTTCAGAGAATACTGTCTTTGGTGGTTGTATGCAAGGCTGATTAAGCAGCCTCTGCTGTTTGTCTTTCACATTCTGTAATGCCATGCTAACTTTTGTTGTGGTATCCCTAGATGACAAGGATCCCTGTATGTAACAACTCATTTTGTTCTTTCTGTCCACACTGCCCCACTTTCACATTTTAGACACTAAACGCCGTTCCCACAGTTGTCATTCTGTACAACCCTCCATTCATGAGTAAACTGGAATTCTGAACTAAAGTAACTGATGATCTGGATATGGAATGAAACGTGCTGGGAGGTCATCTCTGGAAAGCTAGCTCTGGAAGAAGCTCTCATTGCAATAGAGAATGCTGAGCATGACTGATGGAAGCCTTCTTAACCAGAGACAAATGAGGAAGTGCAGCCTCCAGGAAGATATGCTAGCCTCAGCCAGCACATGGGTTTGGTGCCTGGGCAGCCCACCTGAGCACAGCCCACGTGGGGACTGTCGTGTTGCTCTCTCCAAGGGGAAGCATACTCATTAGCTGTGAGAGAGTTTTTGTGTACATGAAACTGTCTGGTCTCCTTTTGATTGATTCTTTTATATTTTGTCCGATATATTTTAACAGGAACAATAAAAAGGAATTGGGAGTATTTATGTAGCCATAATAAAGAAAAGATGAAGGACGGAGAAGACAAGAATGCCGACTCCACGTGTGAGGACAGTGAAGGAAAGTTCGACTTTTCAGTGATGTCTTACAATATCCTCTCCCAAGACTTACTGGAGGATAACTCGCACCTCTACAGACACTGCCGGCGTCCAGTGTTACACTGGAGCTTCCGGTTCCCCAATATCCTGAAAGAAATCAAACATTTTGATGCCGATGTAAGTGTGAAGCCGTGTCAGAGCTTCTGTTCCGAGGACAGTGTGGTCGATTGTGCATTCCTGGGCAGTGTCTTAGTGAGGGGGAGCCCTTGTTAGCGGTCACTCATAGAATTAATCATCTAGCTCTTTTTTCTTGATGTATGAGTGTTCTGTCTGCATGTCTGCCTGCAGGCCAGAAGAAGGCACCAGATCTCATTACAGATGCTTGTGAGCCACCATGTGGGTGCTGGGAATTGAACTCGGGACCTCTAGAAGAGCAGAGCAGCCAGTACTCTTAACCGCTGAGCTGTCTCTCCAGCCCCTCACNGTTCATATCTGTGCGTATTTATCAAGTGACTCGTGTGTGTGCATACTATGTACGGGAAAAGCAAGAGCAGAGCTACCACTCAGTACTTAGTATGTGGTAAACACTGTAGCACAATTAATAAAAACACAGAGACTGATATTGGGGTTCAACCTGAAGACCTAAAAGCAAAGTAGTCAGCCACTGGCTCTTACCTCGACCTCACAGAAATGACAATCCTGCCTCCAGGAATCTCAGAATAAGATTGTCTGAGAGCTGTCTCCTCCCTTGTTACATTCCTCTCTAATGCTGGGATTAAAGGCGTGCACCGCCCAGTTTTTTATGGCAAACTAGTGTGATTAAAGGTGTGTGTTACCACTGTCTGGTCTGTAAAGCTGACCAGGATGGGTGTTTTACTCTATGACCATCAGGCAAGCTTTAATTATTAAAATACAAATGAAATATTGCTACAAAACACTACCCCAGAAAGATGTTCACAGGTCATATTTTACCTTCAGGTGTGTGACTTTCTGTTATATGCTAATGTAAATCCAAGTCTGGCATAGTCTATGTTTCCGTGTTTCATTAATTGACTTATTTTCTAGCAGCTCTGCACTAGCTTTTCAGGGCTGTGCTAATAAGGTACTGTAAATTGGATGTTTTAAACCAAAAGGTGGTCTATTTCCCCCCTGTTATGGGAGCTAGGCATTCTGAACAGGTTGTCAGTAGGCACACTCCTTGGCAGGCTCCAGGCTCTTCTAGCTCCACATGGGTATCAATCAGGCCTTGGTGTTTTTTGTCTTGAAACAGTTCTACTCTCGTCTCTGCTGCTGCCATGTGGCCTTCTCTGTGCGTCTGGCGCTGTCCTCCTCATGAAGCTCACAGTGCTGGTAGATGAAGGTCTCAGAATATCGCCCAGACCTCATCATAGCTAATTATATGCACAATATTTTTTGAGAGACACTGTTAAACCTGTAAAAGACCTGAATTCTGATAATTCAGATGAGGCAGAATGCATATTCAGGTGCTATAAGTCAGCAGACACTTGGGAACTACTCCAAAGGACCAAATCTTCTGAAATGTTGTTACTTGGGATCAAACCCACTGCCTCTCATGTTATACAGAACTCTGCCGCTGAGTTACACTCCAGTCCATTTTAGTGTAGCCCTGGCTGAAGTGGAGCTTGCTGTGTAACCCAGTCTACCTTTGAACTGGAGATTACTTTTTACCTCTCAATTGCTGGGATTCCAGACAGGAGTTTCCATATCTGGCTTTACAAATTGTTTTTGATAGGAAACATTTTGTGTGCTCCCCAGAGGAAATTCAGAAAACACAAGGGAAGAAAAGAAATTACTTATATAGCCAGCACTCATCAGTAGTCACTGCTCTGGCAAGAAAGAGACTGATAGAATGTATATATTTTAAAAAAAGTTGTTGCTAGTTAGTGTCATGATACATTTGTTTGTAGTTCTGATACAAAAGGCTAAGGAGTCAAATTGAACTGGAAGTGTCTTTGAAAAAGTTATCATTTTTATCTTGAGATAAATCAATAAACAGACTTGCTCATTGAAAACTTTACAACTCTGAAGAAAGAAGATAATAGAAGATGCAAAGGCCTCCCCTGCTCAAGGATTGGTAGGATTAATATTGTGAGAACGGCCATCCAACTCAAAGCAATTTAGTGCAGTCCTCATCAAAACTGCAATGTTGTTCTTCACAGAAATTAAATAATTTCAAGGTTCATATGGAAGCACAAAGACCCAGGATAGCAAAAACAATAATAAAATAAATAAATACATTGCTATAGAGCCAGGTGTGGTGGCACAAGCCACTAATCCCAGCACTCAGAAGCCAGAGGCAAATGGATCTCTCTGAGTTCAAGGCCAGCCTGGTCTACAGAATGAGTTCCAGGACAGCCAGGGTTACACAGAGAAACTGTGTCTCAAAAAATCCATAAAAAGCACATTACTTTAGGAAGCACTATTCCTGATGTTCAGTTATGTTATAGAATCATACTAATAAAAACAGCATGTAAAATGATACACAGAGGACCCACTTAAGAACTCACACTCCTACTGCCACCTGGATTTTGACAAGAAGCCAGAAATGCACATTGGAGGGAAGACCGCATCTTCAGTGAGTGGTGCTGGTCAAATTAGATACTCATGTAAAGAATGAAGCTAGATCTTACCTCCCGTCCTGTACACAACTCAATTCCAGTGGATCAAGGACCGCAGCATAATATCTGATACCCAGAATTTGATAGAGAAGGCAAGGAATACACTCAGCTTACAGGCACAGGAATTATTTTCTGAACAGGACCCCAGTAGCACAGGCATTAAGGCCAACAATGACAAATGGGATGCCATTGTTCAAATGAATTACAAAATGAGAAAAAAATACGTCCGACCAAGGGTTGGTACCTACACTATATAAAGGATACAAAAAAATATTAAAAGAACCCAATTAAAAACTGCAGCAAGGAAATAAACTGCATTCTCTAAGACAATGGCTGAGAAACATTTTCAGATTTATTTATTTTTATGTATGTAAGTTTTGCCTACATACTTGATCCATGGACATTAGAAAGGGGTGTCAGATGTCCTAAAACTTTAGTTGCTGGTGGTTGTAAGCTACCATATGGGTACGGTAAACCAAACCTGGGACCTCTGGAAAAGCAGCAAGTGCTTTTAACCACTCAGCCATCTCCCTAGCTCTAGGGATAACTTTTAAATTTATTATTTTATGTATGTGGATATTTTGCCTGCATGTATGTCTGTGTACCATGTGTGAGACCCAAGCCTGTGGAGACCAGAAAAGGGCATTGGGTCCGATGGAATTATAAGCAGTCTGAGCCACCATGTAGGTTCTAGAGCTAAACACAGGTTCTCTTTAAGAACAGCCAATGTTCTTAACTGTTGAGCCATCTCCAGTCCCTTTGGGATAACTTAGTTTTGAAAATGTGATAGCTGTTCCCAAATGTCAAGCAAATATTGCAGCATTTCTGCTGGAAATTTCACATTGATCTGATCTTAAAAGGGAAATGTTCCCAGGAGGGCACTGTCAGGAACCAGGCTTCCTACTTCACCAATAGAAGACTTTACAGTGGCCTAGCAGATAAAAGATAAAGCCTTGTCTCATGAAGAAGCTTCTAGAATTTGATTTATAGATAAGAAATATGAAAAATGTGCCACATAGCATTCATTTAGCAGGCACTTTCTGAGTGCCTGCCTATACTTCAGGCTGTTCTAGCAAGTGGACACAAGGCTGGTCTCCTCCTTAGTGGGATGTGTGTAAGTGAACAGCAAACAAGGAATGCAGAATGATTGAACAATGTGAAGTCTGAACAAAGATTTGGAGTGGGTGAGAGTCAAGCTGTACCTAGAGCATCCTAGCCAGCAGAGCTAGCACAGGAAAGCCTCCGATGTTGACATTGGATTCGGGCAATATGGTTCACAGAGAATGGATGGGGAAAAGGGACAAAAGGATCAGAATAAATTACTGTAAGGCTTTACTGTACTTGTTATGACTGAGTTGGAGGGTTGCGTCTGCTAATAAAGAAACCTAGGCATGCTGGTTTTGAGACAAGGCCTTGCTATATGACTCAGGGTGGTTCAGACTCATAATTCACCTGCCTACTTCCAAATGCTTGCATTACAAGTGTGGGAGCCTGCTCCCTGCTTGGAGTTAGACATAAGATGTGTAGTGTGGTGGCCTCGTTGTAATTCCAGCACTAAGGATGCTGAGGCATTAAGATGAGAAGTTCAAGGCCATTTGGAGCTATATGGTAAATTCCAGGATAGCCTGAGATCCATAGTGGGTCCCTGTCTCTGCAGACCCGTGGGCTGGGAACTTAGATCCACGGTAGAGTGCCTGCCTAGCATGTGTGGGGCCCTGAGTTTATCCCCAACACCTCTACTACCACCAAAAGAGAAAGAAGAAAAGAAATAAGATATTACAGAATTTATTTTCTTTTTTTTGTTTGTTTTTAAATTTATTTATTTATGTATACAATGGTCTGCCTGCATGTGTCCCTGCAGACAGAAGTAGGCACCAGATCTTATTACTGGTGGTTGTAAGCCACCATATGGTTGCTGGGAATTGAACTCAGGACCTCTGGAAGAGCAGTCAATGCTCTCAACCACTGAGCCATCTCTCCAGCCCCCAGAATTTATTTTCTTAAGTGGTGCAGTTAAAACAGTCTTAAGCTAGCTGGGCCCATGGTCTCCCCTGACATCCCTGGCTCTATACCTAAACATTAATTTTTTAATTTTATTTTTAATATTTGTTTATTTATTATATATTATTATTATTAATATTGTATAATATTATACAATATGCTTTCTGCGTATATGCCTAAAGGCCAGAAGAGGGCACCAAATCTTATTACAGATGGTTGTGAGCCACCATGTGGTTGCTGGGAATTGAACTCAGGACCTTTGGAAGAGCAGGCAATGCTCTTAACCACTGAGCCATCTCTCCAGCCCCTGTTTTTTGTTTGTTTGTTTTGTTGTTATTTTTCGAGACAGGGTTTATGGGTGTCACTTTGAAGCCTGTACTGGCACTTGCTCTGTAGACCAGGCTGACCTTGAACTCACAGAGGTCCGCCTGCCTCTGCCTCCCAAGTGCTGGGATTAAAGGCGTGAGCCACCACTGCTTGGCTCCTAAACTTTGGTTTTAATGTGTACTAGCATCCTGTCTTATAGAATATGCTTTGTCAAACATTGCTTTAAAATATTAAGAGGAATGTGTTTTGATATACAGTCTGTCTCTCTTTTCTAAATTCATTCCTTCTAGGTTATCACTGTGAATATAAGATGAAGACAGGAAGGAAACCTGATGGCTGTGCCATTTGCTTCAAACATGCCAAATTTTCACTCCTCTCCGTGAACCCAGTGGAATTCTGCCGTCGTGACATTCCTCTGCTGGACAGAGACAACATTGGATTAGTGTTACTCCTGCAGCCCAAGATGCCACGTACTGCCTCTCCCTCCATCTGTGTAGCTAACACTCATCTGCTGTATAACCCACGGCGAGGTGATATTAAGCTGACTCAACTGGCAATGCTGCTCGCAGAGATTTCCAGTGTGGCCCATCAGAAAGACGGCAGCTTCTGTCCCATCATCATGTGTGGTGACTTTAACTCTGTTCCTGGTTCTCCACTCTATAGTTTCATAAAGGAAGGAAAATTGAATTATGAAGGACTTGCAATTGGAAAGGCAAGTGCTTGCTTCATCTGGTAGGAAGTAGGCTTCTGCCCATCAGAATGAGGGGAAGGGTCATTGTTGGAGTAAGGATGGTCATCGTGTGGCTGTGTGAAAACCAACGGGTAATCCAGTAGATGACTGTGCTAAGATAGGATGGTTCCCTACAGATACAGACACGTGGCTCTGTTCACTTGGTTTGGTTTTGTCTTTCCACTTCTGGAAGCATTCTGTTTGAAGGAATTAGCTGGTAGACAGACGTGTTACAGGCAAAGATCACTTGAAAACCCCTTTCACAGGGATAAGAGTTCTGCGTGCTGGACATGAGCAATATAGTTATTCAATAGTCATTGTGTGAGCTTTCTTTTACATACAAATGTCTTTCCTTACATAATGTTATTTTTATTTGGCGTTGGATGATATTTCCATGCTTCATTCTGCTTGTTTTAGATCATTCGGTTTTCAGTATTTTAACCAAAGTAAATCTTCCACCAGCAGAATTTTCAAGGATAGTTTTAAATTTGGTTTGATCATAGCATTTGACACAACAGAAACTATATTACAGGTAGCAGAAAGGGTAAGGGAGTGTTCTGGGAACACTGTAGATAGGTACATGTTCAAATGAGGAGCACACGCAGGTGAGAAGCCTGTAATTTCCATGTAAATGACGGGTGCTTCTGAACTGTATTTGGATGACGTTTGTAATCACAAGTCATCATTTATATAAAATGAAGGATATGCTTATCATTTCTGATTACTTTTATTAAGATATAAAGCTTTAATACATTAATTAGTTAAAGTCTATTCATGTAAGATGCCTACTGAAATTCTGTGCAGGTATCTGGCCAGGAACAGTCATCTCGGGGACAGAGAATCTTATCTATTCCAATTTGGCCCCCAGACCTGGGCATCTCCCAGAGCTGTGTGTATGAGACACAGCAGGTTCCCAGAGCAGAAAAGACAGGTGAGTGTTTACAGTACGTTTGGGCCAGCTTCCGGGTGACCATCTTCCCTGTGAAGACAGAGGCTCAAATTTCAAAGTTTCAGAATCTTGGGCATGAATGCTCATATATATAAATATAAATAGCTATTTGCTTGTCTTTTGATTAATGCACTACAGATTTCCTTTTTAAGAGTTAAATTCTAGTGTTATTTGTTCATGAATAACTTGTGTGTTGCCTTAGAACTGTCTTCATTTCCACCCCCACCCCAGCCCCCGATTCTGTAGACCATGGGATCAAACATGGAACAGACATTTAAACTAAACATACCGTGAATCTGGATCTAGAGAAGGCTGTGATAGGACAGACTAGAACAAACCAGTGTGCACACTTGATTGACATGCTTCCCCCTGCTCTTTCAGACAGCGGTCTGACGGAGGCCCCACTGGAGAAGGCAGAGGTCGGAGTGTCAGCTGAAAAGTGAGTCACGCAAAAAAATTACCTCAGGAAACACTTGGGTACAAAATGAAGTTGATGCTGTTCCGTGCTGCAAAGGCTTCTGTGTTTAAGACAGATACTCATGAATTCCAGATCTGACTGCTGTTTTGTAACTGAGAACCAAGCATCCCAGTTCCATTTCCCTCCATGGGTTGTGAGGATTCAGGGAGCCAAAGCTTGGAAAGTAGATCTCATGCTTGGCATGCTTGGGCAGTGTCTGGACACAGCACATGTGCCTGGACTGGCATGGGCTGGCCCAGGACCTCTGAAGTTTCCAGTAAAGTGTCTTCCTGATTTCGGTGGGTCATTAGTCTTATCTTACTAACTAGATCTCAGTTCACAGACAAAACGACCCAAACAGCATGCCGTAGAGGTCAGTGTCATTTTCTCTTGGCCTGGTGGGAAACATCAGAGAGAAGAAACTGTATCATTTAAAAAGAGCCATGAATGTTTGGGCTGATTGGGAAGTGGGTCTATGTTAATATATCAAGACAGACTTACATCTTGTCTCTCTAAGATTCTTAAGATGTTTATCTTAGATTGTAACCAAGATATTTTCAGCATTTAAATGTAGGGACCACATTAGCACATCTCCTTCAGTTTATTCTCATTCTTTTCACTTTCACTTTGTATGTGTTGTTAGAGGGGAAACATGTCTTTTTTATGTATTTATTTTTTATTTTATATACATAGGTAGATGTTTTGCCTGCATGTATGTCTGTATGCAAGAATCAGATCCCCAGGAACAGGAGTTACAGACAGCTGTGAACTGCCCTTTGGGTCCTCTGGGATTTGAACCCAGGTACTCTGGAAGAGCAGCCAGTGTTCTTAATCGCTGAGCTATCTCTCCAGCCCTGAGAAAACATTTTCTTATAAGAAATAACCTAGTAAGGAAAGAAGCAGTTTTTAAAAAATGACTTAAACATTTCAAATATATCAAAAACTAAGTGGCATAACAATTTATGGTTTTGAGTAATTAGATCTCTTACAAGGTTTTGCTGTGTAGCCTAGGCTAGCCTTGAGATTTTGCCCTCAGCCTCCAGGGAACTACAGTTATGCTCAGTGCTGCTGTGTCCATCCCCGAACTCTGGCATTCTGTGGGGTCAGTGTGCTTACACACAGCATTCGTCTCTAACCTGAAACACTGGAAGGTCGCAGCTTGAAGGACTTCTTAACATGCTTTTGTGTCTCATCGCGTAGCTCAGGCTAGCTCCAGCTTCCCACGTGTGCCCCACCTTTCACATTAGTGCTTGTGAATGTCAGTCCTTAGACATTAAAAGTTGGAAGTTAGGGGCTTGGGGTTTTATTTGCTCTTTTTGTTTTGTTTTTTGAAATAGAGTTTCTCTTGTGTAGCCCTCACACTTGCTCTGTAAGCCATATTGGTGTCAGACTCAGAGATCCTCCTGCCTACTGGGATTAAAGGCATGAGCCACCACTGCCCGGCTAAGTAGGGATTTTTTGTTTTGTTTTTGTTTTTTTGTTATTGTTTTTTGAGACACAGTTTCCTTATAGTTTTGAAGCCTGTCCTGGAACTAGCTTTTGTAGACCATGCTGGCTTTGAACTCATAGAGATCTGCCTCTTCTGCTTCTGCCTCTTGAGTGCTGGTATTAAAGGTGTGCATCACCACCGCCCAGCCAGGTAGGGTATTTTTAAGGAGTTAACCTGTGTTTATTGATTTAGAAGCTTACTAAAATCAAGGGCCACATTTTTTTTTAAATATTCATGTACATTGGTATTTGGCCTGCATTTGTGCTGTGAGAGGCTGTTAGGTCCCCTGGAACCAGAGTTACAGACAGTTGTGAGCTGTTATGTGGGTACTGGGAATTGAACCCGGGTCCTTTGGAAGAGCAGCCGGTGCTTTTAACTGCTGAGCTACATTTTTATATGTCTCTTAGCACCTACAATGATGTGTAGAATTTAATAGATGTTTGGTAAATGTTTGTTGAGTGAACTTAAGAACGTTCTAAAAATTTTTTTACTTTGCCTTTATAGCATAAATAGCTCTTAACATTCATGACATTAGAAAATGATCTTTAGCTCTTTTGTCTGAGACATGCATGACATGTCTTTGCAGCAGTAAATGTGAGCCACTCTGGCAGTGTCCTGAGAGCAGCAGAAGCATGTAAGGCCTGTGGCTTCTTTGCCAGCAGAGATCCAGAAGGTCCTGAATAGCCCTGCACACCACAGCCCACTAAGAGCGTCCTTAAAACCACAACCAAAACGTGCATGCTGTTTAGGAGTGTATGCTCATTATTTAAATGGAGGTTCTCAAACATGTATAATTAATTCTAAGATCTAATTAACACATTGATTCTTTAACTCTTACCCCATTTGGCATCATTTGCTGGGTTTTATTAGCCACTGGCTTACATTCCCATGTCGGCAAAGGAGCCTGGCGAAGGATCTGGTTTGTTGAGTGACGCCCGCCTCACACCTGTCATAGCACACAGGAGGCTGAGGAGGAAGTGTCGTGAGATGACCAGCCTGGATGTGTAGTAAGAGTGAGGCTAACCTGAGCTGCAGAAGAGCCAGGCACATGGCTTACACATATTAGACCAGTACTTTAGCAACTGAGACAGGATTGCCACAAATTTGAGGCCAGCCTAAGGTATAAAGCAAGTTCCACTCAAGCCTGGGCTATAATGTAGCCTTGTCTGGAAAACAAAATAAAAAGACTAAACAGTAATAAAAAGTATCCAGGTTTAGTCCAGGAATGGAGTAGAAAGGTAATTTAGGTGAGAATTTTTCCTATGAAGATTCTGATGGAAACTGAGCCCTTCTCTTCTCTTTAGCATGTCTTCACATCTCCAGCACCACTTCAGCTTGTCATCTGTTTACTCTCACTACCTTCCTGACACCGGGCTTCCAGAGGTGACCACCTGCCATTCCCAGAGCGCCATAACTGTTGACTATATTTTCTACTCTGCAGAAAAGGAGGATGCTGCTCGGGGTCCAGGTGAGGAATAGTGGAGCCCCAACTCCTAGAATACAGTTGGGGAGAATCTTAGTTCTCCTCGGCACAGAGGTGAAGGTCTGGATGTAGAGGGAGATGGGAAAACCACTGATGCTGCGGCATATGTCCTGACCGCCTACAGAGCACAAGGCAATAAAGCACCCCATGGCAGATTCTAACAGAGTGCATCCTCAGGGGGTCCTTCAGTGCCAGTCAGAGTCAGTTCTAAATCCAAGCCATCTGCTCAGCACAATAAATGCTGCCTTCCCTGCAGAGCCAGGCTGTGCTGGTCATGCTGACCTGAGGGAGGGAGCTGGTCACTGTTTTCAGTACATGTCCAGTGCAGCTCAGCAGGAAGTAAGGCTGAATACGCCAACTGAGGGACTTAAAACAGAGCAGACATGAAGATAATTGGAAATCTGAAAACACTCAGGGAAACATCTGGAGTCCTAGACAAGGCAGACTCCCCACCCCCTTTTCTGATGCTGCTTCTCCCTGTTAGTTCCTTCTCAGTGACTCAGTTCTGACTGAACCAACTACCCAGTGTTGCTGCTCTCAGTTCACAGTACGGTCTGGAAGTTGCCGTGCCTACAGAGCTCACTAGGTGGCAGGAGAGTGCCAAGATCAGCAGCAGGTTATTTTCCACTTGAGGGGAGAATGAGTGGTCTCAAAGCATGTCACTTTATCCTGCAGTCACCTTGGCAGCTTGGCTCTAGGCAGTTTGAGTGGTTTGGTGGATCATTCTTAAGTGGTTCTCAATATCAAATTCTTTTGTTTTTCAAGACACAGTTTCTCTGTATAGCCCTGGCTCTCCTAGAACTCTCTGTAGTCCAGGCTGGCGTGAACACCTGCCTGCCTCTGCCCCCTGAGTTCTGGAACTAAAGGAGTGCACCACCACCACCCAGTGCACATTCTTAACATTTCATTGTATTAATCTTTCAAAGGTGTAAATTTCATAAATTGGAATAGAAAAATTACCTGGCATAAATAGCATGAGTCTGTGAATTTAGGATTATTAGTTATAACTTCACAAAACTTTATACTCTAAAATCTTCCATGTTTTCTGCTAAACTTCAGGTTCTTTCTCACTGTTTAAAACAAACAACCTTGCCTGCTTAATGACAGCTTCACTAAATATGTGCTTCTTCAACTAGGAGCTGAAGTTGCTTTGGTTGGTGGCTTGAAACTTCTAGCTAGACTGTCGCTTCTTACAGAGCAAGACCTGTGGACCGTGAATGGGCTTCCCAATGAACACAACTCCTCAGACCAACTGCCTCTGCTGGCTAAGTTCAGGCTGGAGCTCTGACTCAGTGCTCACTCGCACAGCTTCCTGTCTTCCCAAAGACTATGAAGATACTGTTTGCATGATATTCATATTTGTGCTGTGGGGTTCTGAACTTGCTTGAGCAGATTGGAAGGAACAAGTTTACAACAGCTTTTTAATGGAATATTTTTCTGACAACTGATGTCTAAACACTTTATTGTAAAAGATAGAAATAACTTTTAAGTCCTGGTGAAGTTAACAGCATTTTTAAAATGTAGTTCCTCTCCTTGGCCCTCCAGCTATGAACTTAGTATATCCAGTGGACCTCCGGGACTAGCAGAGCTCAGGCATTGCCTCTCATGGAGGTCTGGTTTCACTGGGAGAAGTCTGTGCTTGCTGAGAGCTAATCAGTTCTTAGGAGTCACTGGTCATTCAGTCACAGGTGTCCAACCACAGTAGCTCCTCAAGGGCTTGATGTACTCTTGAGTTGTACAAATGCTCACCCACTTCACTCCATCCTGAGCTGTGGGACATGCCTACACTTTTTAGGGGAAATACTTGAGGAATATAGGTCATTCTCATAAGAGGGCAAAGCTCTTAGCCAACATGGTGGTACGTACCTTACATCTTAGCATTTGGGAGGTGGAGGCAGGATTAGCATTTAAAGCCAACTTTAGCAACATAGCAAATTTGAGACCTGGGCTACATGAAACCCTGTATTAAAAAAACAAAAGCTGGATTGATGGTGTCCCATGCTTTTAATCCCAGCACTCAGGAGGCAGAGGCAGGCAAATCTAGTTCAAGCCCAGCCTGGTCTACAGACTGCGTTCCAGGACAGCCAGGACTACACAGAGAAACTTGTAGCCAAAAAAAAAAAAAGAGGTCCAAGTGCTTTATCTAAGCCCACTCCTGTCCTGTACAGGGGTTGCCCCAAGGAGAGCAGATGAGCCAGGTGCAGCCATGCACGTGTGTAGTGCTAGCATCCAGGAGACAGGCAGGAACATTACATGTTCAGGGTCAGCTTGGGCTACAGCAAGACCCTGACTCAAAGATAGACAAGAAGGCGGCAAACCCTGGCTTGTAACTGTGTCCCCCTGTACTTCCCTTTCTGTTTGGTGACAGTAGAATACCCTTGGGTCAGGAGTGACATTTTGTTGACCCATTTTATATAAATTTTAGAAAATCAGTCTTTGGAAGGAAGCAGCAGCTCTACTCCTATTGTTGTTCATCTCTAGCGTGCAGAAGCCAGAGCGTAGGGAGGCACGGCTTAGGCCCCGGAGCTGCACACTCCACGCTTCCGCAGAGTAACTCTAGGCCGCAGTGTTGAGCTTTCTGGTGCAGTGGTGCAGCAGTGTGCCATGGTGCTTACACTGGGTGAAGCCTCACAGCCGGTCTGACAAGGCCTGTTAGCTCTCCCTGTGCAAGTGCCGGTTAAACCTTTCAATGTAAGTAGAAATTCCCTCTGCTTTCTAAGATAGTAGAATCAGATTACAGGCATTTTTACTAAGTCCTTATAGTGCAGTAAATTACAAGTGTTTTCTACAGCGATTTTTATTAATAGAATGTTTTAAATTAGGCAGTAAGTCTTTGCAATTTTAAGTTATTTATTAGTTATTTTAGTCTACGAGATGACTGCCTCAGAGGTACAGAGATTGTAAAGACATGTCCACTGAGAACTGCAGTGACAAAGGTCTCACCTTGGTTTTCATGACAGTATTAACATAGTGCCAGATGCCCCCAGTTTTCAGTAGTGCTAAGGGTCTGGTTATCAGATTATAGTGGTAATTGTCCCTTTTTAATATGGGGGTTGAGTGAATTAGTGTAAACATTGTTGGCACACTGACATTCCTGAAAACCTCTGCAGAACGTTTTTATATCCTGATGAGTATGTTATGAGTTAGGCCATTTCATGTACTTCACTTTGATACAGTTAACCTGTAAACTGCTGTTAGCTTATCAGTGTTCATCTGTGGCCCAGACACTTTTCACAAGCTTTTTGAGCTCCAATAAAAACGATCTATTTTCTCTACTCTTCTGACAGAAAAGCTGGCAGCTCTTCTGGTGGGCCTTGTGTTTACCTGTCAAGCACAATCTGATCTGGCTGACTGCAGAAGTCAGCTCAGTTTCAAATGTGTACTGTCGTGTGTGTGTGTGTGTGTGTGTGTGTGTGTGTGTGTGTGTGCGCGCGCGCGCGTGCGTGCGTCTAGAGACCAGAGGTGAATCTTGGGTGTTATTCCTCAGGAGCTGTCCACCTTCTATTTTTAAGAGAGGGTCTCTCACTGACCTGGAACATGCCAAAGTAGGGTAAGCTGACTGACCAGCAAGGCCAAGATCCCTCTGTCTCTGCCTCCCTCGTGTGGGATTACATGTGGATACCTACCTGGCTTCTCATGTGGTCCTGGGCTCACACTCAGGTCTTCCTCTAACTGAGCCATCTCCCCAGCCTCCTGCTGGCCAAGGTTTAAAAAAAAAAAAGGGAAACTGTAAAGTGATGGTAGTCTGGTTCTACTGTACCTTTGCCATCAAGACAATAGGAATGCTCAAGTCCTTTCTACTTTGTATCTATAAACTGTAATAAATTATTATATTTGCACATCTCTGTTGGGCTTTGTGGTAAACATCACCCTGAACTAACCCTATACCCATTGCAGCCTGTGTCAGTCAGGATGAAGGTAAGAGGCAAGTGATTGAAAAACACCCAGACAGAGTAATGTTCAACAGCGCTCCCGAAAGAGGAGCGTGAGAAATGTAAATTAACTCAGTAGGACAAAACAGCAACAAAACACTCAAAGACCTCAGTTTCCAGAATGGTTTTTACTACAGTTCCATGCTGTGTCGCACACGTGACGAGAGAAATGCAAGCCTGAAGCATGCTCTCCTGGCACTCCTTAGATACCGTCAGTCTCCGTGCACTTAGAAAAATACCCAGACAGCCACGGCTCTTCTGAAATATAACAAGGTCTAAGAATAAACAAGAATCTCAATTGTGTGTCAAAAAACTATACAAGGTTGTACATTAAAGTCCAGCATACAAAAACCTTGTAGAGTAGGCTGAAGGTTGCGAAGGCCCTTAGCCATGTCTGCTGAGGATACCCATGAAATAGGTGACTCAAGGAAAGGGATGTGCACAAGATGCCAGTGTACGGAAAACACACGGGATCACCTTTCACAATCAGCAGCGGGGCAGCCTGAGGCTTGTCACTCAGCTCTGCACATCTTGCCACAGGATAAACTTGCTCCAGTCACCTCACACTGTTCTTCTCTGCCTTCTGAAACCACAGCCAGGCTGAGGAGAGGTTAAACACACTGGGCTCGTTTTAATTAGACTGTTGCATTAAAATTTAGGTGTTTCATGTCTTCTGCTTTTAGAAGTTGATGTAACTACAGTCAGTAAAATCGAATGGCAAAGAGCACTTAAAATGTTTGTGACTAATCTTGCTTTGGAAAATGAATCTAAAAATCAAAGTGGTTGTGGAAGAGATGGCAGAGTGTCGCACCCAGGAACAGCTGGGTACTGTTCTTTGTCTTGCCAAGGATTAAGGTTGTCCCACTGTCCGGCGTTCTTGTGAACGATCCTTGAACAAGGCAGCTGCGGGCACTTGGCCTCGTCACTGAATTCTGATCAGTCCGGGTACCACATGGAGCAGTTTTGGGGGGGATAAACAGCTGAGCAAAAGTGAAAGCACTCTCAGGCTCCTCAGGACACTCAGATACAGGCGGCCTTGAGTCTGAGACTGGACGGCGTGTGAGGACTGTGGAGGACAGTGAGTGGTGCTTCCTTGGGTCCCGAGGTCAGAGCAGGGCCTCCCAGCGCGCGCCCAGGCCCAGTAACTTATCTTGAACTCTGCTAACAGGATTCTTGAAGAAAGCGATTAAGTTCAGAATTTGAAGCTTACACTGTTTTAGTTTCCTGGTTCTGGTCTCTAGAGGACACTGAACTTTTCCAAGAAAACAATACTGGCTTGAGGGTGGAGCGAGTTTTTATGCCCAGGGCTCTTGCCTCCCTTGTAGCCCTAGGTTTTCCTGCTGAAGACTCAGCGAATGGTCGGTTAGCAGGTCTGTCAGTCACAGCCAGAGGAACGTATGCCGAGAGCTCTCGGAATGAGCTGGGCTTTCTGCATGGTGGCTGCACACGTGACCTAAAGTTGGCTTCCAGACGCCTTCAGAAGTCACACTGCAGTGGCAACAGGCAGGCTTGCTCTGCTTCAGGACCTGCACTCAGTGCTGGGCTGGACCTTTTCCTTAAAGACGGGCCTGCTTCTTGAGTTCATGGTTTTCCCCAGCACCTCCTTATGCCATGAAGTGGATGACGGAAATAGTCCGTCATCACATTTGCCTTAATGTAAGACAGCAGAGAGCATATTAACAGTGGCGAGACCCTCAGAACCAAGGCTGACCAGGGTCTGTCCTTTGAGCACCTTTCTGCCTGAGGACATCTCGGCACTGCTGGATTTTGGTGAGTGCGTGTCCTCTTGTGTTTTTTGCTGGATTTGGAAAAGCTTAAATGTTAGCAACAGACATGGACTGGCTTTCTTGTTTTGAAAGAGGGAAGCCTGCTGTCAGCAGATGCTCTAAGTGACTCCAAGATCCTAATGTGTTGTCCCTTATTGCCAGAATTGCAGTGCTTTTTGCTAAAGCATTTGCATATGACACCTTAAATCTCATCTCATGTGTGTACCAGAAAAAACAAAAACAAAAAAACAACAAACCCTCCAAACCATCCAAATCCCTATAAGAAACACTAGGAAAACAATACAAATAGAATATAAAAAACTCATTAAGATTGCATATCTGGTGCCAAAATGTTGAGGTAATATCAACTGCTTTAAAAACCCACCATCTTTGCTTGTTATTGCTGAGAAGACGGTAACACTGGCTGGGTTACAGAGAGTGGAGACAACTCCAAAGTTGACTACAGCTGAGGCATAATGTCCAAAGCAAGCGCAACAGTCGGCAAATGGAAAAATAGAAAACTCCAATGTTGTCCTTGAGATCCTGAGGGAGACAGTCAACCAAGGGGCCTGTCCATCACTTAGCCCAGTCATGCCTGCTGCCCACAGCATTTTTCAAGGCTCACCATGTCCACCCACTCAGATTCTGTTCCCAGGGAAGTCCTTCAAGATGAAAGCTGCACCCGTTCCTCATGGATAAGCAGGTCCCGAAGCTGCTGCGGAAAGTGCAGAAAAGAGCACCATAGAAGCCTTGCCAGCCTGGCCTGGCTAGATCCGGATCTGATAGCCCACTTCATTCAGGGTGCCAAGGTCAGCCGCCTTCTTCTCAGGTAGAGCAGGCCTAAGGATAAAGGCAGAAGGACGATGGGGCAGGACCGACAGAGAGGATTGAAACTTTTTTTTCGAGACAGGGTTTCTCTGTAGCTTTGGTGCCTGTCCTGGCACTAGCTCTTGTAGACCAGGCTGGCCTCGAACTCCCAGAGATCCGCCTGCCTCTGCCTCTCGAGTGCTGGGATTAAAGGCGTGCGCCACCACCGCCCGGCGGATTGAAACTTTTCAAGGGCCTGATATTCACCTGTTCCCCACACCCACACTCCTCCAGCCTTGGCCCCCAATTCTTGTACTTGGTGGATTCTGAGAGGTTTTGAGGAGTTCTAAAGGCTTTCAGTGAAGAAATTTTAAAAATCTGGTATCAAATGAGCTTTTTAAGCTTGAATTTAATCACACTATTTAAAATTAAAACATATATATATATATATATAACTTGCCAATACATATGGCAAAATTAACCAGGCTCTACTTTTTTTTTTTTTTTTATGCATACAATAGTTTGTCTGCATGTGTCTGTACACCAGAAGAGGGCACCAGACCTCATTACAGATGGTTGTGAGCTACCATGTGGTTGCTGGGAATTGAACTCAGGGCCTTTGGAAGAGCAGGCAATGCTCTTAACCTCTGAGTCATCTCTCCAGCCCCTCTACTTTTTTTTTCACTGTTTCCCAGGGTAGCCTTGACCTTTCCCTCCTGCTGTTTGGGTCTGCTGTGTTCTGGGATGGTAGGTGCCCAGCGCCATGCCTGGAGCGTAGAGCCACATACATGACTAAGTCAAAGTTCTTTGGCAGCAGTGAGCCTGGGTCGCAAGGGAACTTGGGTTTTGATGGACATTACCAGTCCTTGAGAGATGCTTCTACTCTGGGCTTGAATGTGCAAAATCAAGGTGCATCGCCATGTGGTGCCCACACCTTTAATCCCAGCACTTGGGAGGCAGACAGATGGATCTCTGAGTTTGAGGCCAGTCTAGTCTACAGAGTTCCTGAACAGCCAGGGTAAAAATAAAGGATTCAAAGGTGTATCTTTCAGAATTTACCTGAAACCACCCGCCGTGGCAGAAAATCACTCAGTGACAAAGCGTCTTTGCCAGGAAACCCCTAAAGCACCTGGCAGTAAAACCTCGACACTGACACTGAGTGAGGGACTGGCGGCTTTCCAGGATGACACTGTATGCAAGCATTCTGACCGCTTCATTTTCTGATGAGCCCCTTGTCACCTTGGGTTGATGGGTCCGAGACTATAAGTGGGGATTTAGGATGTTACTTCAGGTTTCTTCCGCTTCCCTAAGAGCATCAAAGAGGCTGACAAAGGGGACAGTGGAACCTTGACCTGAAGTGCTAAAAAGTGAAAATTCAAGGATAAGAAAGTTCTTAAGCCTTTGAAAGATTTTCTTTTAGCAAGTCGTTTCCTCTTGACAAGAAAGTAGTCCAACTCACCCAACTAAAACTGAGCAGCGGACTCCAGTCAGGCTCTCTCTGAGAAGAAGGGCTTGATCATCCTAAGTCATTCTCCTCTGTCAGGTGAACGCCACCAAACCCGCCCCTACTCCCCTTTGACTTCGTATTTGAGATGAAGTTCCCATGAGTTACCAGGCAGTCCCTGAATGTGGAATCCTCCTGCTTTTGCCTCTCAAGTAGCCACTAAGAGATTCCAACATCTTGACCGATGATCATTCTCTCTGAAACAACTTCACGGTGGGTGTTCAAGAACCCTCCTGACTTTCTACCTGACCCGACTAAATCACCTGTGTCACAAGGGTCCACACATTTCTTTATGTCTCTTCTCATGGTTCCAGAGACACCCACAATAATAAACACAGGAGAAATGGAAACACGTGTGCAGATTTCACCCAACTGTGACGATGAGCTCCTGGCCTTCAGGGTCCAGTCACGCCCTAGAGATGAGCTAACTTTAAACAGAACCACTGCCTACAAGCCTCCAGGAGTGGCTTCCAGGACCTACCTTATGACCCTTCATGGGCTCCTAACTAAAAGGAACAATGTTGCTCAAGAAAGAGAAAGGGAAAAAAAGAAACATGGCAGAAAAAAAGAGGAGGACAACCAGGTAAAAAGGAACCACGGAGACAGAAAGGTTTGCTCTGGCCTTTGGGGAAGCTGATCTTTAGTGAAGACGAGATTGGTCTTTTTTCCCCGGAGGTGTTTGTGTACAGTGTGCGCCGGATGTGGAGACCAGCCGCCAACCTGGTGTGCGCCTCGATTACCTCTCCCTTATGTGTTTTTATTTTGACTCAAGTGTTAGGAATCTGAACTCAGGACTCACGCTTGTGTGGCAGACACTCGGCCCTATCTATAGCCCTTTTTCTTTCTAGACATTACCACGATATATAGTCTAGGCTGGTCTTGAACTTGAGGACACAAGTGGTCTTCTTGGCTCCCACCACTCAAGAGCCTGGGACAACTGATGAATCACATCAGGCTCCCCTGACTTCTACCTTGCTCTTCTAGAGCTGGCCCACTCACAAGTCACTGTGGACACCTCTCAGAATGGAGCCTGAAGGGACTGAGCCCCAGAGTTGGGAACAGGTTGGTTTGAGATGACAGGGGCTTTGAAACAGAGCCCAATTTCCACCCCCAGTTCTCTTTAAGAACCCCCGGGGTGGGGGTGGAGTTGAGAGGGAAACTTGACCTTTCTGTGTAGAAGGTGCTTCCAACGTTTGGAGGGGAAATACCAGCAAGATGGCTCAGGAGGAAAAGGCACTACACATGACAACCTAAATTCTACACATAGGACCCACATGGTGGAAGGGACGAACCCAAAAGGTGTTCTCCGCCCTTCACATGCATATATGTCTGACAAATAAATGTAATGAGAAGAAGACGGAAACACTCAGAGGGGAGCAGAGAGGAAGAACCCGCTGGGGGAGGGGACTGCTGTCTCCCCGTAGAAACTTGATCTTAATTGAGGTTGGTGAAGTCACTGTTATCCTCCTGCTCAGCCGACTCCATGTCAACCCAGCGACACAGACACTCCTCCAGGGATTATTTAGGCAAGTGCAAAGACAAAAAGGAATGCAGCACTAGAAGTGGCTCCAGCTGTGAGAGGGGCGGCACGGGCCACCAAAACTATCTACGGGCCCCAGCTGACCCCAGCTGACCCAGCTGACCCAGCTGACGGGCCTCTTGCCCGGTGTGGTTACTTTCCACTGTGAGCACGCAGTGTATGTAGAAATGACTCGCTGGCCTTAGGTAAAGCTGAAATAATAGCACTGCAGTCAATCAGGAGCCTTCCTGATGCTCACCAGTTCAGTGAGAGCCCAGGGTCTGTGAAGTCACTGGGGCATGGTCAAACCTGTCCCTTCAAAAATAGCTAGCTGGACCAAGCCTGCATGGAGAAAGCTATGGGCAGGAGAAAAGATCCTCTTTTGGACATATGTCTGGAGGCCAGGGGTGCTGGTCTAGCCTGTGGCTATGGCAGACGCACAAGTGAGCACCGGGAGGGCGGGCTCAGAGTTTCCATGGTTCCCTCCTCTCCAGTCTTCGGCTTCTGTCCTCCCCCACCCTTCCCCAATGCTGCCCCTCAGAAGTCAGGTCTGAGAGGAGCTGGACAAAGGCTCTCCCTCCTCACTCACCTCTATCCAGAGCCCTGTCGAGGCTCCTGCCAGCCTCCAAATGCAGACAAGAGCCAAGTGGCCAGGATCTCTGATGCCGAGAAGAGCCATGACCTTATGAGACCTATGCCTGTGAAACTGTCCTCAGGCACCCACAGGTGCAGGGCTCTCCATGACCGTGCTGCTCCAAGGCCACCTGGGCTAGCTGTGGATCCTTCCCAATCATACCCCACTGGGAAGCATTAATGAAGGGCTCCTGGGAACCTGCTCAGCCTGGGAGGCAAGGTCATGGCTATGGGTGTGATATAGGGACCTTGGGAGCTGGGTACAGCCACCCCACCTTTTCTTTGATACGTTTATAATATATTGGCCTGTGACTGCCTCCCGGGGGCTGGGGGGTTGGCATTGGTAGGATGTTAAGGGAAAACACCTGGGGGTTCGTTCCCTCATGGTCTTTCCATTCTCAGGCCACTGTAGTGTGACGGGGGGGTAAGGACAAGCAGGGCCCTGGCACCCAGTGGCTTCACACTCACAGCCGTAGCTGTCTAACTGCTGTCTTCCTCGGGTGCAGGTGAAGGCGCCAGCGTGGCCGCTTGCCTTGGCTGCATGACAAAGTAGTAGAGATTAGGGTCTGGGGCAAGGAAAGTCGGAGTGAATCAGTGGGCACCCCAAGGCCAAATTAAATGAGGCCTGAGCTTGAGGCCAGCTAAGGTAGGCTCCCAGGACTAGACAAGTCTGGGGTGTACACCAGTGGCCCCCCCTAGGACTGGACAAGTCTGCGGTGTGCACCAGTGACTAGATTTCAACCCTTTTATCGTGGTGGGTTGATTGTTAATGTGAACCCTTTGCCTGGGTTCATCAAGTACAGGAGGTGGGTCGCTGCTGAACAACTCTGGGGTGCTCCCTGCACCCCGGCCCCCAGCAACAGAATTGAGTACTTGTCAGAGGAAAAACTGAGATGCCTGTCCCAAAGCTGCTGGTTCAGAAGCACCAGGAGAGGGTGGCTCCCCCATTCTGGTTTGGAAAAAGATCCCTCTGAGAACCACGACCTGCCGGTCAGTGATGTCTTCAGCCTAGACCCTGTCCAGTCTGTGCCCATGGCTTTCTCTCTCACTGTCACCTCTGCCCAGCACAAGGCCACCAGAGGCACAAACCGAATCCATATCCTCCCTACCTCTGAGCCCTCACTGCCGCATCCCATCACTCTGATCCTGGCTCCCCCAAAACCCTGCTTCCTGAGTTCATCACTTTATTTTGAACCTTCACCTCTTCCTTCTGGTTATTTCCGCCTTGTCTCCAAAGACAGTGTGGTTCTCTTCAATTCTGCAAGGAAAAAACCCAGAGGGAATACAATATTCAAAGAATCCTCGCTAATTCCCTCTCCTCTCACAGGAAGGAAAGCTCCTTCACTGGGCTAGGAATCTGGTCCCTGGATCTCAGCTCGGGGTTCATTCTGTGTACCCTCCCCAATCACACTGTTCTCCAAAGACCCTGAGTCCACAGTGTTTCCAGTCCCCACCCCCGCCCCCAACCTCCTCAGGATCTGCTCTTCCCTGGACCTCACTGTCCACCCTGTTTTTGAGTTTACATTTTTGCCACTGGACCTCGGTTTCCCGGAAGCTCCCAATACTAGGACTGAATCAAGCCGTGAGGTATGAAGGGAGGAGACTAGCAAAAGAGAACCCCCCTTCCTGACCTGGGGAACCACTCCCTGTTCCTTTTTATCCTCACTCCCAGGCCCATTCTGATGCACCAGGTGGACAGGAGGTCGTCAGTGGATTCGTTCCCAGAGTAGGGCAGGGAAGGGGTGGTCACCTCACCCTGTCACCAGTGAAAAGAGCAATAGTGCACACCCCTGAGCAAGACTGTCCCCGTACCCATCCCTTCCTCATCTCCCGTCCAACTCTCATTTCCCTGTCCTTCCGAGAGCTACTCATTCCCGTTCCTCTCACTTTTCTTTCCTGCTCCAGGTCACTTCTACGTAGATGTCTCCAAGTTTGTTTTTGTTTTTATCAAGCTGGGTTTCTTCCTGGAGCTCCGGCTGTCATAAAACTAGTTCTGTAGACCAGGCTGACGTCAGAGATTCCCTCTTCTTCTACCTCTGTCTCCCAAGAACTGGGATTAAAGGTCGCATGTGCCACTGCCTGGCTAGATGCCTCCAATTTTTAATCTGTCCTCAAGCCCTATTATCAGTATTTTTTAAAACATTCACTCCAGAAGCCTGAGAAGCACTTCAGAACCCACAGTCTCAACAGTTGCCTCTGTCTTCCACATCAAACGGTCTCCATCAGACCTTTGACCTCATCCTGATTGCCACCCTGCTCTGTCCCCTGGCAGTTAATGTCCCACACTCCTGACATCACTGAGTTCTTGTAGATCTAGGTGCAACAACCCAACCGATGTCAGCCTCCCTCACTGTAGAGGCCCTGGACTCCCCGTTCCCAGGCCACCTGTCACTTCAGCAAGCCTCTGCTAGCTGTCCATGCGAAATCTGGGGCGGACAGCGGGACGAAGCACAGGAGCCTTCTTTGGAACTGGAAACCCTGCTCTGTCTCGTCACTCAAACACAACCATCCCTTGCCCCTGCCACCTCCTTAGTCCAGGGGGTTGTGTTGGCTTCCTACTGACCAGCCACAGGACTTAGGACTAAGATAGCAAACTCCAACATTCCCCGCAGAGCCTGTGGAATGGACATGCTGGCCGGAATGTCCTTCTGTAAAAGCAGTTTACTGCTAACAGGCCACACCCACCACGTGATCTAGTCAGAACCCTTCAGCAATGCCTGTGAGGAAACCTTCTTAGCCTCTTACACATGCAAACCATAACTCCCTCAGGACCAGGGTCTGCTTGGCTACATGGCTACTGTGTGACTAAGCAGGGACTCAACCAAGACTCCTAACCCCTGACCCCAGCGTGCGAGTGGCTGCAATGATAACCCGCTGCAAATAGCGAATTTTCAGTGTGCCGTGGCCTGAGGGCTTGCTAGCAGGTCAGTGCCGGGGACTCTGGGGACCCTGTGCAGCTCAACTGGCATGTTTTATGTGAGTCACTTGACCTCAGAAAGAGCTACAGCATTACCAGGCTAGCGTAGAGTCAGTCAGGGAAGAGGAGCCTGGAAGCTCTCTTGCACCACAAGGTTCACAGTGCCCACACCCTGCTGGGCACAGAGGAATGCAGGTCTGTACTGACAGACTCAAACAGCCAGGACGTAGCTAAGCTTATGCCAGACCTACGCTCCCTGGTTCTGTTTCCAGGGTCCTTCCCCTCTGGCTGTATTTTCAGCTCATTCTCAGCTGATTGCCGCCCTGGAGCTGGCATGCACCATAGCACCTTGCCCAGCATGACCTCTGAACGGGGACAGTCCTCTCAGAGGGGACTCGGCTTATCCCCACAGGTCTGGAGACCCCTGCAAATATGTGTGCCAGGGAAGGGAAAATAGCACTCACGACTTGTCTCGCCTGCCGAGCCTCCTTGGGGGACTTGCTTGCCTCCTTCGGGGAGACAGGGATTTTCCCCGGCTTCTCACTTGAGTTGGAGAGTGGGCACTGGCAGGTTTCAGGATCTGAAGAAGATAGGAGTTAGTGTTCGTTAGCCACACTGGATCCTCAGGACCCCCATCTCTCACCTTCCAACAGCACAACACCCCAACCCCAACCTATCCAGGATGGACATTCCTCACATTCTACCCTGGAAAAAGAAAAGGGGACTGGAGAGCTACAAGGACCACCACTCCATTCCGTTCTCTGTGGAAGGAGGGAACCAAGCCCAGCCCCTCAGCCTCCAGACTCTCACTCTGGAAGGCAAAGTCTCCTCCACGGCACCCAGAAACCAGCTTCTGCTGACTCCCCCTTCCCACGTTCAGGCACAGAATGGTCTTTAATTTACCAGTATCACCATTCCAGCTCCTGAAGACTGAAGGTAAACACACCTGACTCAGAATAGCCACTTTCTCCTAGTGACCCACAGGCCCTGGAGAGACAGGGACAAGCAGGTGTACTGTCACTAGGAGCGAGCTGACAGAGTAGAGAGTAGATACTGAGTGTCAGGGACCCAAGCTCAGCACAGTGAATGCCCCTCTTGACCACTCTGACACCAGCTTAGATGCCCAAGACCCAGCAACGCAGGCCAAACAGACCCAGCGTGACTCTGAAACAGACCATAAGCAGGGTGACCATCTCAGCCTGAGAAGTCCCTCTGTTCCAGGCACAGCACCTGAGCAACAAAGCTGGCCTCTTATTTTTGGATGTTAGTTCACAGAAGGAATTAAGGGGAGAGACACCACTTAGTTTGTAACATCTAAGGTGGTTTCAGCTCTCATTTATGAAACAAATTTGACCCTCAGGGACATTTTTGGGAATTGGTTATAGGACCGCAAAGGGACACCAAAATCCATAAGTATTCAAGTCCCTTATGTTTGCATCCTCCTGTGAACGTTGATCTCAATTTGAATGACCTGTAATGCCTAAGACATAATAGTTGTTCAACTATGTGCTATTTAGGGAATAATAATAATAATAAACTATATATATTCAGCACAGCTGCAACTTTTTTTCATATTATCCTCGACCCAGAGTTGGTTGAAACTGAGGGTGTAGAATTCACAGGCACAAGGAGCAGGACGCATCACAGGCACACAGTCTAACTGTCCGATCAAAAGAGGATGCAGAGGACTTGTTTTTACAGAGTGGCCACTCAGCAAGAAAACCTTCCTGCCATTTAGCAAAAGCAAGAGATACTGTGCTTGTTAAATCCCGAGTCTCAGTTTGATGGGACTTAGGAATCTCCCAGGGGAAGCTGCTCTCTGACCATGTCTGTGAGGACGTTTCTAGGCTGGATGAATTGAGGTGGGAACCACACACTCCAGATAGCACCATTCCATGGGCTGACGCCAAAGTGAATAAAACGGAGGATGTGACCTGAGCCCCAGCTGTGGCCGCAGTTGCTTCAGGTTCCTACGGCTCTAGTGTCTCCCATGATGGAGAGTACCCTCGAACTGTGAATGGGAATAAACGCTCCTTCCCTCTTTCCCGTATTTCGGGGTCAGGCATTTTGTCCCACGTGTAAAGGAATGGGTGCAGACAGGAAGAACACTCACACACACACACCACACACTGGTCCTGGCCCTCACCTTCATCCGCATGTCCCTGGCGTACTTCTCCAGCTCCTTCCGTATGTCGGCCCTCAGCATCTTTGAGACGTTGAGGACCAGCTGCTTCCACTCAATGGGCTGGAAGCTGTGAGGCTCATGGGGGACATACAGCCCAATCTTGACCTTCTTGACCGTGTGCAGGTATTTCTTGTAGGAGTCTTCAAAGTCAAAGACAAGGTCGCTCAGAGTCCGAAAGGTCAGCGGCTTGTCCATCAGCTCAGCCCTTCGGCTCATGCCCAGTGAGCCGTAGTAACCATTGCAATAAATCCCCAGCACGACATGGTGAAAGTAGTTCCCTGAGAAATAGGTTTTAAAGCTGATGGGGAAGCGCTCGATGGAAGGCTGCCCGTTGGTTAAATATCTTAGACAAGTGGAGTCAAGGAAGAGGCAGGGGCCTGAAGATTTCAGAGAGTGCCAGGTGGTGGTGGCACACGCCTTTAATCTCAGTACTCGGGAGGCAGAGACAGTGGCTCTCTGTGAGTTCGAGGCCAGCATGGTCTACAGAGCAAGTTCCAGCACAGCCAGGACTCCACAGAGAAACATGATTTTCAGAGAGCATGGCTTCCCAGGAGGAGACACTATTCCTGGGGCCAGTGAGTCCATCCCCCTGTCTCAGTATCTAACTAACCTTTCCAGAATTCTCTGCAAGGGATTCTCTGGGTACTCAATGAATATGGAATAGAGAGAAAAGTTGCCGCCCTCAGTAGTTAAATGCAAAACAAACTAATCAGGCCCCCTTTTCCTTGCCTGGCTTCCCAAAGGCCCGTGGAGCTATTTCTAAGTAAAGATGTTTCTATTTACTTGTTTGTAGGTGTGTACACATGCGTGCGTGCATGTGAATACAGGCATACTTAACCATGAGGGTACACGCTGAGGCCAGAGCTGCACACGGAATGTCTTTCCTCAGTTGGTCTCCACCTTATTTTTGGAGACAGATCGCTCACTAAACCTGAAGCTCACCATTTCACTTGACAGGCTGGCCAGCAAATCCCAAGATTCTCCTGTCTCAGCCTTCTAGTGTTGGGGATCAAGGCTCGCATTACCACCGTTCCTTCTCATGTGATTCGGGAGATCTGAACTCGGGTCTTCATGCTTATGCAGAGATTTCCTGAGCAGGTTTCCCCAGCCAAGTGTGTTTTTAAACACAATCAGGCTGGGCAGCGGTGGTGGTGCACAGATAATCCCATGACCTGTGAAGCAAAGGCAGGCCAATCTCCAAGAGCTTGAGGCCAGCCTGGTCTACAGAGGGAGCTCCAGGACAGCCAGGGCTACGAAGAGAAACCCGGTGTGAAAAACCAAACAAACACAGTAAGATTGTGCAAAGCAGGCAGGATCAGAGGGCCTCTGTGGTAGGCCAGGCAAGAAAGGAAAACCGGGATCCCAGAGACAGCAATGGAAGGCCAAGGCTGGCTGGTAACTGGAGAGTGGGGGACAGAAAGGAGTTGGAAGGAGTCACATTTGTGACACTTAGCCACTCCCATCACACCTGGCATACCTGTGCCAACAGCCTGGGCTACCATGTAGAAAACTGTTACCCACGGTCCCAAGTCCCATCTTAGTCCCAACTCACATGGCACATCTTGGCTCTCCCAGCTCACTGGCCTGTAGTGACTTAGTGGCAGCCTCTTACCATGACTTTAGGGGGGTGTGTGTGTGTGTCAGAAGTCCCCTTTGGTGTTCCTCTGCTGTCCTTACTTTTCGAGACAGGATATCCTGTCCTGGAACTCAATCACTAAGGTAAACTGCTTGGCCAGTGAGACCTGGGGATCCTCCTGCCTCCACCTCCCCAGAACTGGGATCACAAGTGCAGGCCTCAACACCTGGGGTTTGTTTTAACACTGGTCCTGGGCGAGCAAACTCAGCGAGCACTTACCAACAGAGCTGTCTTCTCCAGCCACTACAGTGTTGGCTTTGACCGAAAATTGCAGAGGAGTAGCTTGAATTAACACCCTACTCCTGGCCCTGGATGGCTAAGCAAGAGGTGCCCTACTTCCAAGCCCCTCTAGAAATTCCACACCATTCCTGGTTAGATCTCACAACCCTCGATCCAACTCTCCTGGAAACTCTTTCGGTCATTCCTCTTGGTAGAATGCCCAGGGGACCGGAATGCTTCTGAGGTGAATGACATGGTACTGCGTGATGGTGAGGTCAGGTATAGGCACAGCTCTCTGTCCTCATTCTGCAGACAGCTGACATGCCTCTGCAGGAAAAGGCACCTGCCACCAAGCCAGATGACCCGAAATTCATCTTCAGAGTACAATATGATGAAAAGAAAGAACTGACCCTACAACCTGTCCTCTGACCTCCACACACGTGCATGACCTCCACACACGTGCATGTTGCATGTACTGCATGCAGCGCCTCCCCTCCAGATAAATATTTTTAAAAGAATCTGTCTTAATCACATGTTCCCTGACAACGTGATGTCATATCTCAGCCCAACTGGTAAACCTGTCTTCTACTGCAGAGATGTCCACATCTCAATTCTTAGGACTGTTTTAGTCCCTGAGCAAAGTCCTAATGTCACTTGGCCCTTGATCACCGACCCTCTGTGTCATCTTAGTGTCCTTGTCTGGCCATCAGGAGGCCCTGGACATTTTTGAAGGATACATCCTGAAGCCATAACGGAGGTACACAGGAGCCAGGTACGGTGACACACACCTTTAATCCCAGGTTTGAGAGGTAGAGACAGAGCTCTGAGCTAGAGGCCATCCAGGGCTACTTAGTAAAACCCTGTCCAGAAAACACAGTGGAAACCACAGTCCTTAGCGCATATATTCTTCCTTAAGAAGCCGAGTGTTTAGACAGCATGGTGGTTTGAAAGAGAATGGACCCCAGGCTCATGTACTTGGTTGGTCCCCAGTTGGTGACGCTGTTTGGGAAGGACTAGGAGGTGTGGGACCTGACCAGCCAGCAGCACAATCCCCCCCAGCGGGGCTCAGCACAGGAGCCATTTCTCCAAACATCTGCCAAATTCAAAAAGAACCTGGAACCTAAGATCCATGTGTCTGGCACACATAGGAAAGTGAGGACACACATTAGTTAGCAAGGTACAAAGTGGCCGTCCAGGAAGGGATCCTGAACTTCAGGCTGAAGTGAAAAGACTTGATACACAGGCTGAGGAGAGAGCTTAGCTTGTAAAGCACTTGTTCAAGACCCAGAACCCAGGTTTGTAACCCCTGGCGGGAAAGTAGAAACAGGTAGATCGGTGGGGCTTACTGGCCAGCCAGCTTAGCCAACTTGATGAGTTCAGGGACACTGGGAGATCCCGCCTCCATAGATAAATCACTAATATAAAGAGGTGGGCGGCGCCTGACCCACCACAGCTGGAGCTGTCCCCTGGCCTCCACATGCACATTCACCCCCATACTGGAGAGAAAAGAAGGACAAGTGGCCTGAAGTCACCAAACCTACCAGCTTCCCCGTTGTCAAGGAGACCTTGTTTCCCAGGACAGAGGGGAACTCTGGGAGACACTGACCATGACCTGAACCACTCTTCCCGTCCCGAGGGGAAAGCAGGACAGCGGAACGCTGACACAGAGCAAAGACAGAACTGTTGTAACTGCGGCCGGAGGTCTATGCCAAGAGTCCGGTTTCCCTGAGGATAGCGTGACAGGCAGCCTCCCACACTCGCCACCTGCCTGGCTCCGCTCTGAAATGCCACACAGGTAAGAACAAAGCAAAACCAAGAGCACTGGCCCGGCGGGGTCCTAGATCTATTCTCTGCAAGCCCCGGGGCTTCTGGGTAATTCCAGGGACAATGATGCTCAGATGTTTGCAAAGGACAAGGTGGCCTACATACCCAGCACACTCAGCAGGTGTCAGAGCAGCTGAGCTATGCTCGTTAGCGTCTGGCCTGTGTCCTCTGCTGGCCTCCACCAGCAAGGTGTTCGGAAGAGCAGGGTCCCAAGAGTCCTGTTGCCCCCTAAGCCTGAATCCTGCTAGACTCTCTAACATGTGCCTCCCCTTTACACAACGAGCAGGGAGATCTGGGAGAGGCTTCTGAAAGACTCAAGTTCTCATTTTCCAAATGCTAACTAAGGCACAGATGGAGAGCCGTACTTCAGGTCAGACCCCTGTGTGCCCTGCAAGTGGCCGAGAGGCACAGAAGCTCCGTCCCGTGGAAACATGCAGTGGTGGGTGCGGAGCCCATGCTTTCATACCCAGCAATATACACACAAAAGACATACACATGACAATACAAGACCCTGTGAGAACCTGGGGACAGAGGTCTAGCTTGAGTAAAGTGCCGGGCTAGTCTGTGCAAGGCTCTGAGTTTGGTCTCCAGCAAAGAGCAAAAACAAAACAAAAAGACACAAGAGGAGTCGAAGAGATGGTTTAGTTGCTAAAGTACTTGCTGTACAGTCCAGTGGTGATGGTGCATGCCTTTAATCCCAGCACTTGAGAGACTGAGGCAGGCAGTCTCTGTGAATTCAAGGCCAGCCTGGTCTACAGAGCAAGTTCTAGGACAGTAGGCAGAGAAACCCTATCTTGTCAAACAAGTACTTGCTGTGTAAGTGCAAGGACCCGAGTTCAGATCTCCACTCTCTGTGTAAGAGTCAGGTGTGGTGGTGTGTGTCAGGCTATAACTCCAGAACTGGGACACAAGGCCAGAGGGTCCCAGGGGCTTGCTCAGCCAGTCAGTCTAGCCAAACAACACTCCAGGTTTGTGGGAGACCCTGTCTCAAAAAGTCAGGTAGATGGTTGGTGGGGTTGGGGGTATCTCAGTGGGTTAAAACTCATTGCACATGCAAAGGACCTGAGTTCAAATCCTAAGAACCTACACAAAGCAGGTAGGGCCCATCGCATCTGGAAGCCCATCAGTTCCACTATGAGGTGGGGTGGCGGGTAGGAAAATCCCTGGGAGCCTAAGGGCCAGATAACTTGCTGTACACTGCAATGGACTGCAATACACTGCAAAGAAGAGACTTTGTCTCAAATGAAGTGGAAGGTGAGGATGGACACCTGAGGCTGTCCTCTGACTGCCACACTCAAGCTGTGGCATGTGCATACCCACACTTACACACCTTACACACGCATGCACACAAACACACAGGTGGAAAGTGATAGAAAGGTGTCCAGTGCTAAGCTCTGAATCCACACCTACATAGTGTGTGCATCTGCATACCAGCGCACAAACATGCATACACCACACGTCTGAGAGTCCAAACAAACTAGCCCATCCTCCTGTCCCCACCTAATTCTGAAGCACGCCTTCACTGACCGCTGTCTCCTTTCCGGTTCCCAGCCAACCTCTGAGTTTCCTGAAGACTCTAAATTGTGTCAGGTTAACAATGTGCAAAGGACCCCAGCATATTATTGCCAACCTGACACAATTTAGAATCACCTGGAATGAGGGAGCCTCAACACGAGTTGCCTCCATCAGACTAGCCTGTGGCCATGTCTGTGAGGAATTGTTTTGACTGATGATTGACGCGGAGGGCCCAACCCACTCTGGTCTGTATCATCTCTAGGCAGGTAGGTCTGGGCTGCTTAAGGAAGTAGCATTCCTCCATGGTTTCTGCCCCAACCTTCCTCAATGATGGACTCGGATCAGGAAGCATTAACAGAAATAAACCCTTTCTTCCCCTAAGTTGCTTTGGTCACGGCATTGAACACAGCCTCCTTCGCTGGTTCCTTGTGTCCATCTAGATAAAAGAATTTTAAGCTTCATCTTCGACCACTTTTTCCTCCTCCCGTCTCCCCAACATTCACACCACCCAAACTGTGTTTTGAGCATCGCTCCACCCCCTCAAAAACCCAACCCTCCAAATATCCCATCCCCAACAGCCTAGATTCCATGTTTCAAATCCAGCCCGTCCACATTTGACCCCCATGCCCTACAGTTGGAGCCTTCCTTTTAAGTCCTTCCCCTGGGCCGTGGCATCGTCATGCAGGACAGAAATGGAGGGATCCACAGAGCTATGGCCTAGACACCTGCAGGCCCCTCCCCTCAGCCTTCCCTGCTTCTCTGTCGCAGTGCAGGCCTTCACAGATACGGTACACTCCCGTCACTCGATTCTTCACACGCGTCTTCTCTGTCTCTGGCCTAATGGGAAGCCTGTGTTAGCTGATTCCCTGTCAGCTCCTATGTCTGGCTGGTTTCCCGTCCCGTACACTCTATCTCCTGGCAGCTCTGGAAACTACCTCGCCCAACCCGGTCCTGCTGCCAAGGTCATGGTCCAAGTCTCACCATTCCCTCCTGCAAGACCAAAAAGAGCTCTGTCGGTCCAGTCCAGCTGCCTCCACTGTCCCGTCTTTCTGGAAGCTACTCTAAATGGAACACCCAGGCTTGAGACCACGTCAGCCTTCAGCTTCAGAAGATTGAAAGCCACTTAGCGCTGCACTCAAGAAGCCAACAGCCTTCACCTGGCCACGGTCCTCTCGGCCAATTACCCCACGGGCTCCAGCAGTTCTCTGGCTCTCACCTGGTTCTGTTCAGTTGCCACCGCCATCAGTCAGGGTCATCACAGAGTTTCTGGATGGAATTCCTCCCACGGGAAAAGAGCCAAGACTGTGGTGCAAATGATAATGCACAAGAGACCAGCACGAGCCCAGCCCCTGCGCCCAGTGGGTTCCCATGACACACCGGAGCACCTGCTCTTCTCTGCAGTCCGTTCTCACACTTCTCATAGTGATGGATTTAGATAATGGCCCTCTAGGCCTTGCTTTAACTCCATTTCGGTGTTTAACTCTTACAACAGTGTCAGGAGAGAGCAGGAGAGAGCCGCACATGTACAATTTGAACCTGAATTCTCCTTGTGACCGCTGAATCTACAGTCACTGGCCCGACTGCTCCACAGAGAACAGGTAGGATGAACGCCGGCCCAAGGAGCCAAGCATCGATTTAGTTCAACTCCAGCCAAGTCAAACTGAGAGAAGTATCACTGGTGTCTGACCTTTTTCTATAAGGACATCAAAGACACAACTAACTCCAGAACAGGGTCACAGAGGTACCACACAAAGCTTAAAGGATACATGCCCAGAATGACTGCCTCAAGGCATTTGATAGGCAAGGATTCTCGGGTCATCTCTTTCGCCGTTTCCATTAACCTGTGGGACAGAACACAACAGAAGATCTCAGGACTTAGGCATTTATGCAGTGATGGTCCGTCAGTTCATCAGTCTGTCAGTATGCCTGTCTCCTCACTAGGCACCATGCAGAAATTTAAATAGAAAAGGAACAACTCAATTCCCCGGGATGACCCCTAAACACACGTGCACTTGACAGAACTAAGATCCTCAAGTCCACAGGCTCCTCCCAGTTACCTCAGAGAGGGCCGTGTTATATCTCACAACATCCTCCCAGTCTGGAGGCGGGGCCTTAAAGGACAAGTAAGACAAGCCTCCTGAGTGAGTTTTCAGGCCTATGCCATCCTGAAAGTGAGTCTCGTCTGTGTTTTTTGAGTTAGGGTCTCACTATGTAGCCCTGCTGGCCCAGAACTTGGTATGCCCAGGCCAGTCTCAAACCCAGAGATCCACTTGCCTTCCACGTGCTGGGATTAAAGATGTGGGTAGCACACCTGGCCCGAGAGTCAGTCCTGATCACCCAATTTAGCCGCCAAGAGCGGCTAGTCCTCAGCTCCACCCACAGTCTGGCCCTGGGGCACCTCCACCTCCACCCCCTGCAGACTAGAAGAATCCAGGGTCCTAGGAGACTGGACAGAGTTTGGGAGAGGGCGCTGGTGGCTCTCCCACAGGAGAGAACGCAGCACTTACCCGCTCAGAGGTCTCATTTTCCTGATTTCAAAGAACTGGGTCCCTGTGTGATTGTATCTGTGCGAAACATGTAAAGGCAAAGTGACGAACGTTCCGAAGCCCTGGTCACCCAGCGGAGAGCCACACTGACTCCCATTTCTCAAGGGGATAAGGGAGAAGTCGCTTTTCTAGCCAGTGGCCAGGGGACCAACAGCCTGGTGACTCCTCACCACGTAGCCCTGGAAACCTAATTTCTTCTCCTTTTCTTCTTCCCCTTTTATTTGAAAGATTTTATTTATTTATTTATTTTATGTATATGAGTACTCTATCTGCATGTATGACTTTATGCCAGAAGAGGGCATCAGATCCTACTACAGATGGCTGTGAGCCACCATGTGGTTGCTAGGAATTGGACTCAGGACCCTCTGGAAGAGAAGCCAGTGCTCTTAACCGCTGACCATCTCTCCAGCCAAAAATCTAATTTCTAACTGAGCCTAGATGCACTTTTGATAGTACCTCATTTTAGTCTGCCCTGTGTCCCAGTTACTTGACCACATGTCTAAATCATATGCTAGACTAGAAGCCCTTGAGAGTTGGGATCATTCTTTTATTATCTTTGGATCACCCATAAAGCCTAGAAGAAGCTCAGCATACACAGGTTTAGCAAACGTTATTAAATGGGAATAAGTAAATGAACTGATTGATGAGTGAGCAGCTCAGTGGATAAACAAGTGAAAAGACAGAAAGGAAAGAGAAAGTAGATGCACAGAAGGACAAATGGAAGGTGAGATGGATAGAAGAAGAGGACAATGGATGGACAGATGGACAGGTGGATGATGGAAGTAAGGTAAACCGGTGTATAGGGAGGTGGATGGGAGAATGAGTGGAAAGATGGATGGATGATGGGTGTATGGATGGGTGGATGATGGGTGGATGGATGGGTGGGTGGGTGGATGATGGGTGGATAATGGGTGGATGGATGGGTGGATGATGGGTGGATGGATGATGGGTGGATGGATGGGGGGATGGATGGGTGGATGATGGGTGGATGGATGGGTGGATGGATGGGTGGATGGATGGGTGGATGGATGGATGGATGATGGGTGGATGGATGGGTGGATGATGGGTGGATGGATGGATGGATGATGGGTGGATGATGGGTGGATGGATAGGTGGATGATGGGTGGATGGATGGGTGGATGGATGGGTGGATGGATGGGTGGATGATGGGTGGATGGATGGGGGGATGATGGGTGGATGGATGGGGGGATGGATGGGTGGATGATGGGTGGGTGGATGGGTGGGTGGATGGGTGGGTGGGTGGATGAGTGGATAGGTGGATACAAGGATGTATATATGGTTTACATATGTATGTATGGGATGACTGATGTATCAGTGTATGGAAGAAAAGATGGAAGAGTGGATGGATGGCAGCAAGACTTTTCAACAGCACAAAGAACTTAAGAACACATCACTTATTTCACACCAACACTTGACACCACTAATCTAATCAGATGGCAACTACTTTCCACAACCTGATTCTGACTGACTGCCCAGTTCTCTGGAGCTAGCAAACATGCACCACCAAATACCCCCTCATGTCATGCTTTCTGAGACACAATTTTGAATTTATTTTTTTTTTAGTTTAACTTAATTTATATGTTTTACTCATTTGCTTCAAACAAAAAAACCTGTTTGTAAACTGTGTTCTGGGGGGATGCAGACGAAGAGCGACTTTGCTCTCCCAGAGCTGCCGTATCCAGTGGGCTGTGTAGGACTCACTCACTATGTGTCCCAGTGACGCAAGCGGCTTGGAGGGTGGGCCCACCTCACACTGCCCAGACGAAGGGCACAGATAAAGAGCCTTTGGCTCAAAAGGAGAATTCAGTCGTAGACCATAGCTCATGACTTCCTGCCCCACTTCTGACTGCTGGATTGTGCTATGGGATCATGTTCTTGTACATTGTAAAGATTTGTCACTCGTGTTGGTTTAATAAAACAGACTGGCCAATAGGCAGGCAGGAAGTACAGGCATGGTGACCAGACTACGAGAATTCTGGGAAGAGGAAAGGCAGAGATGCATTCGTTAGCCAGACGCAAAGGAGCAAGATAAGAATGCCTTACTGAGGAAAGGCACCAAGTCACAGGGCTAAACATAGATACGAATTATGGGTTAATTTAAGCTGTCACAGCTAGTTATTAATAAGCCTGAGCAACAGGCAAAACAGTTTATAATTAATATAAGCCCCTGTGTGTTTATTTGTGACTGAATGGCTGTGGGACGGGGCAGGACAGAAACTTCTGTCTACAGGATTGGAAACAACACTGTCAGGACCAGGGGTGATATGAACTAGTGCACCTTAGGAGCGGCTGACCTGGGCCATGTTCATGACAGTATAGGCTGGCCTGGCATTTCTAAAATAAGATATTAAAAATTCTTAGGGGTAAAAGAAAAAACAAGGGGCTCTTATTGTGAAGTGGTACTTTTTTACTCTATCAAAGATTTTGCTCAAACAGTACTCAAACAAATGTTCCCAGTACATTTAAAGTAGAATTCAGTTTTAAAAAGTAAGATTAATCCATAATTAAGTAATAGGAAATTGTATGGCCATCTTCTCTAAGTTCCTTGTGGTTGGTAGCTGAGCTTCTGGAAGTTTCTCTCTAGCCTTTCCTGTGCCTTTGCATAGAGCTCCTGGGCAGGCTTCCCGTGTCTCGCAAAGCGACGGGCTCCCTTTCCAAATACACACAAAGGCCAGCACAGCCACTCACTGTTCCAGGAGAAGGCAGGGCTGGGTCCATCAAAACACCATTGTCATCCGAGCACATGTATAGTTAGGTATGTGTTGTGGAATATTCCTTTACACTGTGCGAAGATATTTCACTGTGATTGGTTTAATAAAAAGCTAAATGACCAATAGTTAGGCAGAACTTTGGGGGCAGAGAGAGCACAGGGGAGAAGGGTGGCGTGGCAAGTAGACACCAGGATTCAGAGGAAGCAGGATAGGCAGTACAGAATATAGCTAATATAGCCACAAGGCAGAAAGTAAATAAAAATCAGTTAATTTAAGTTATAAGAGCTAGTTAGAAACAGACTTAAACTCTTGGCCAAGCTTTCATAATGAATAAGAAGTCTCCACGTCATTATTTGGGAGCTGGCTGGCAGGACAGAAAAATCCACCTACAGGTATATGGCCCTAGGCAGTCCCCAGATCCTGCCACCTGTGTCGAGGTCAAGCAGTCATGGTGTGGGATGTCCTTCTGTACTCTGTGAATATGTGTTGCTTTTATTGGTTGAAGAACAAAGGTGCTTTAGCCTATGGCAGGGCAGAATGTAGCTGGGCGGGAAATCCAACCAGAGACACAGGGAGAAAGAAGGAGAGAGACACCAGCAGACACTGGAGGAGTGAGATGCATTGCTGGTAAGCCACGGGTCACGTGGTGAGATATATATATATATATATATTGTTTAAATTAACAAGTGGGTTAATTTAAACGTAAGAACTAGCCAGTAATAAGCCGAGCCATCTTGGGCTGACGAGGGAGGGGGAGTTGATTGGGGGAGGGGGAGGGAAAGGGGAGGCAGCGGTGGGGAAGAGACAGAAATCTTTAATAAATAAATAAATTAATTAAAAAAACCCTATACATGAAAATAAAAACTGCACAAAACAAAACAAAAAAGCCAAGCCATCGGCCAAACAATTATAATTAATATTAAGCCTCTGAATGAGTATTTTATAAGTGGCTGTAGGACTGGCAGGTGGGGCAGAAAAGACTCCAGCTACACAGTCAGGCACCCAAGGAACTAGACACCAGGTCAGAAATAGAGGGTTTCTATTCTTCCTCCCTGGATCATGGCCCCAAAGGCCTGATGACCTGGTCCCCTATTCTCCCTTGTACTTTCCACTGTCTACTCTGTGGTCAGTAATCTTGGATAATGGCCATCATTAATGGGTCAGAGGAAAAGCAAAAAGAGGACCCTTCAAGAGCAATGATGAGGATGAAGCCAGGTATGTGTGACAACTTTTCTATCAGTGGGAGAAAATGATATGCAAAACACATGCAAATTTGTCCCTCGTGATGCAGCTCAGCCAGGCTCATCCTCCTTGGGAAGGCCTCGTCCTAGATAGAAGCGAGAGCTGCTGTAACTTCAGGTCACCTGGAGCGTTCGGTGATGAAGTAAGTGACCACTGAAAAAGGACAGCTCTTCGGGCCTGAGTCCATGCCCCTCAACCACCACCGACAATCCATGTAGGGTCTTAGTTTGGAGGTCAGCAGAAATCCCCAATAACCTTGGTAGGGTCTGGGGCTGCCAGTCTCTCTCTGGAGGGAGCCACAGTCTCCTGAGGAGGAGTCAGGACTCCATGAGAAAGGTGCCGCATAGGAAGGCGATGACCTATGAAGCGGAAACTGAGATGCTAATCAAGTAATCTATTGGGGTGTACTGCATCCCTGGAAGGTATGGGTGTCTGATCCCTTCAGGAGAGGTACCATCATTCTCTCCTATGGCAGAGGCTTCCTGCTTCCTCAAGTCCTCTCAGCCTCAGGGTTGGGGAGGAGCCAGCAGAAAGCAAGCTGACATGCCAGGGGCCTCTCTGCAGAGTCAACCAGAAGTACCACCTCCTGAAAAGCACACTGAAGCCGGCTCCCCATCAGACTCCTGAGCCTAATAAAATACTAGAAGCGATCATTAAATTTGTATCGACATGCAAAAATCCATATCAATGTAAAATACTTGAGACTAGTAGTTGCTTTTTAGTTTAAAAGTAAGTCAGTGATCTACCCTTTAATCCTGTCATTTCTGGGGGGAAAAGGAGAAGGAAAGATAGGAAAAGAAAGGAACAAAGACAATCAAGAAGTGGAAAAAACAGAAGGAATGGAAAGAAGAGGGGGTGCCAGGGAAGGCAGAGGAAAAGGCAGGGAAGCAGAAAAGGAGAAGTCACGAGCTCACCGTGGATCAACCTTACTGCTGTTTGAGGGACAAGCCCTGGTCATTCTGGTCACTGCATGACGTACTCTGCTAGCCTGAGTGCTGCAAGCTCTCTCCCAAGGGTCCAACATCTTCCAGCCTACCAGAGCTCTGGCAAACCAGCTGGTGACAGACATGCCACTGAGCTTGCGATCACCATGCCCATCCCTTGTCCAGGGTGCTCAGCCCCTGGCTGAAAGGATACTGTAGTGTCTTCATGTAATTCTGGATGGCCTGGAGCCAGTCTGGAATCGTCATGGACAGCCTGTAGTTTGGGACCTGGGGAATTGAAGGCTACAGAGAGAAAGAGAGGGGGCTCCTGTTATTGAGTCGCTTGGGGGCACAGCTCCTAGAGCAGGGCATGGGGCTGGACTCAAGGGAGAGCGGCCCCTGCGAGCACACATCTGGTGTTGTCACCAGCAGCCACGGCCCGTCCCCCACGGCATCTCCCTCCTAAGATAGCTGTCCACCATTGAAGGGCCCTTTAGGCCCCCTCCAAACATATGCCACTCTGTCATGGCTCTTATGGCCCTCCTGACGTCGAGTGAACAGAGTTTGCCTTCTCTATGGGGACATTGCCTTCTTGAGGCCAAGGACCATGTCCTGTGGAACATCCCAGAGACTGACCCAGGACACTCATTCTTAAATTTTTAGCACGTGGTCCTTTTTGCAGCCTGGCTAACAGTGACCCCATTACGTGTGCTCCCCTCTTAAGCCTCGTGGACACAGGACATGAGACAAATGGCTCCCAAGATAAATAACTACAGAAGAATGGGTGTCAGCCATGTGTACCACTTCTCCACACTACACACCTCCCATGCCCACTGCTTCCCTCCCTGAGCCTTTACTCCAAGCACAAGATTAAGGAAGGCCCTCGGCTTGCCCAAGTTGACTCTCCCCAGGTAAGTGCTGTGCCCCTGCCTCACGAGGCACCCTCATGGCAGCCCCGCCTACTCTCCTCCCCCAAGTGCCTACAGTCAGCACTAAACCCAACCACTCCCGACACCAGGTCACCAGCCAGACAGGAACACATTACGCTTGTTTATCTCCACTGACTCCTCGTCCTTGTCTCCATGTCTGTGGTGGGCTTTGTCATTGGTGACTAAGGACCTTGGTCCCTATGAATGCAGGAGTAAGGGAGGAGTCTCCTCTAGGCATTAGCTTCTCCAAAGATGTAGAACTGGTAAAAGGAAAGATTAGTCTCATCCTTGGAGAAAACAGGGCCAGCTCTGCAAGTGGAAGGGGAAGCTGCTAGTGAAACAGCTGATAGAATGCGGCCAGCCTAGCTGGGCCGCAGAGCCAGGCACAGTGGGAGATGGGTACGGAGCGTTAGTCATGGGGTGGCCCACGCCGAGCATGGGGTGGCCCACGCCGAGCATGGGGTGGCCCACGCCGAGCATGGGGTGGCCCACCCTGAGCATGGGGTGGCCCACGCCGAGCATGGGGTGGCCCACGCCGAGCATGGGGTGGCCCACCCTGAGCATGGGGTAGCCCACTCTTCCCCCACTTGTGCACCATTTCCGCAGACATTCCCTGCCGATCGTCTGTGCCTCTACTCAACCTTGGCTCTGAGGCATCCTAAATCCACAGAAACTGTCCCCTCAGCTGGAAGGGAAGCAGCCACACTTGGTATATCCCAGCCAAGGGGCTGTGCGCATGAGCATGAGCCCAGTCCTGTGGACACACACGCACACAGGCCAACTGTGAGCATGAACCCAGCCCTGTGGACACATACACAGCCCAAATGTGAGCATGAGCCCAGCCCTGTGGACACGCACACACACAAGTCCAACTGTGAGCATGAGCCCGGCCCTGTGGACACACACACAGACCCAACTGTGAACATAAGCCCAGCCCTGTGGACACGCACACACACAGGCCCAACTGTGAACATGAGCCCGGCCCTGTGGACATGCACACACACAGGCCCAACTGTGAACACGAGCCTGGCCCTGTGGACATGCATGCAGGCCCAACTGTGAGCATGAGCCTGGCCCTGTGGACACGCATACACACAGGCCCCACTGTGAGCATGAGCCCGGCCCTGTGGACACGCACACAGGCCCCACTGTTCTACAAGCCACGTTTTCCCTCCAACTTCAGCTCGAACTCCCTGTCTGGGAGAGTCACTTTGGAGAGAAAAAGGTTCCAATTTGAACATTTGTTCCCATGACTCGATTTGACACCCCCCCCCCACATCACACACACTCACACATAAACAGTTTTTCACACACAAACTCACACGTGAATTCTCTGTCCAACCAACATTAGCAAGTGTTGAGACTTCCTTGTTTTTTCGCAGTGACGCCCACACGTCTACCAAGCCTACATAACAACAAACCAGAGGTTTCAAAGAGGTGGGAAGAGAAGGGAGGCTGAAGAACAGGCCCCACCCCCACCCAGCAACTCCATGTTGTAAGTGCTAGGCCAGGTCCAGAGCAGGAAGGGAGACAGATCCTGTCCAGACACGTCAGGATGTGAGGGACGTGAGAGACCGAGTCCCCACACTTGGCTCAGGGTCCATTTTGGGAGCTGACCACAGAGTTATTTCCACCTTTCCCCCACCCCATGGAACCCATAGATCAGGGTGTGAAGCAGGACTCCAAAGGCAGCTGGGCCTCAGAATAGCAGCCAACGGCGCCCAAGGGATTTAGGAAAACAGCTGCAGTCACCTCAGCGGGCTGTGGCCACATTTGCTCCCAAGGAGGACAAATGCAAGCGTCCCCCATGTGGGCTAGAGCAGGGTTGTGGTCAGGAGAGCCAAGATGCTCTGTGGAGAATACTGTCAGCTGCTCTTCACACCCTGAAGTCAGGTGAGCTGCGGGGGGGGGGGGGGCTCAGCCTGGGGCAACTTTGGCAGCACCTTAGGCAGTCAGTGCTCCGGCTGGATTGAATATAAACCAGAAGGGCCCCTGAGGTATAATGACGAATGCACACAACGCTCTCTCTCTTACCAGCTGGAGGCCTTGGTCCAGGACGGGACCCCTACAGCCTCCGCTTGCAGGCAGGTAAAATAACAACACTGCCTCATCTACCCTGGGAGTTTATACAAAGGCAGCAGGGACTGGGCTATACATGGTACATACAGGGGGAGAGCCGTGTCGTTATCCATCAGTGATGTGTTCTCCGGAACTGGATTAAAGAGGCTCAGAATGAGCATGGATCCTAGTTCCTAGGCATACAGCCCTGAGGTTTTGCTTCCTGACGATGTCTTTCTACTCAATAGGAGATAAGAACATCCACTCCATTGCCAGGCTCCACATGCTGACGAGGAGGTGGTGCCCTTAACTCATGGAGACTTCATAAAGTGACAGAGCACATTAGGCTCCAAGAAAAAGTGGGCCAGCTCGGTGCCTGTGGATGGGTAGAACGGATAAGCAAAACTCCATCCTGACACAGGGAGATGCTAATCGGCTTTCAAAGGTAGGCACGTGTTGGGGACACCCCGAAATGTGGGCGAACCCTGAAGCAAGCCAACCTCAAAACAGCCAATGCTGGGCCATGGTGACAGCTCAGCAGGACGTCTGCCTTTGCCACCAACCCTGAGTCTAATCCCCAAAACCACACAGTGGGGAAGCAACCCGCGCCTGTCTGACAGCTCTAAAGGAAAAATTCTATGTAATTCTTCATGCGTGAAGTTCCTAGAGTGGTCAGCTTCATGGATGAAGTGGGGAGTAAGCATTGGGCGGGCATTATTGGGTGTGGCTAAGTTTGAGAAGGAAGTGAAAGGCTTTGGAGGTGCAGGCGGTGATGGAACCATGACCACGTACGTGTTCTTTCAGTCACAGAACTTTCTATCATCCGGACAAAGTTCCTGAGATGACCAGCTTATAGAGAACAAAGGTTGATTGTTTTTCTTACGGTTTCAGAGGTTTCAGGTCACAGTCACTTGTACCTATAGCTTTTGGACCCATAGCGCACCCTCAGAGGGAGCATGTGGTGGAGAAGGTCCGGTCACCTCAGGGAATCCAAGAAACGAGAGGGGAAGGCTCAGGGGGTTGTTGTCTTCATGGCTGTCCCAGCAGCGGTTATGCTGCAAGAGCCGCCACTGAGGGAATTCCGTCCCCTCACGAACCTACTCTTTCAAAGCTACAAAGGGATCATAACTAAATCTCTGTCCCTCTAAAGAACTCAAGACACGAAGAGTTGAGGTGGACGTTTGCTCCTCGGAGTCTGGACAGCAGGAAGTGTACCTCCTCTCTGCTGGTGTCTCTCCAGAAGCCCTCCTGCTTCTCCTCGAGCCTCCTTAAAACCCTTCTCCGCCTGGCCCCTTCCTACCACCTCCTGTCAGCTAGCTGCTGACCCAACCTCCTGACTACAGGGGAATTTCACTTCATCTAACACATCTTTGCATCATTAAACAAATATTCCAGAGTGTAAACAAAAGTAACCCACCTTAAACTAATATTCTACAGTAGGGGGTCATTGTCCCAATTCTAGGGCACACTCCCTAATGACCTAAATCCTTCCTATGAGGCCTCACCTGCTAACAGCATCCCAGGCTGGGGGCCAAGCCTTCGACAGGTGGGCCTTTGGGACGGTCAGAATCCAAACAGCAGCGGCCATACACTTCAAGGCAGGTAATGTATCATGGACTTCACCACAATAAACAAATAAGGTCACAAAAAGTGGTTTACTAAAGGAGAAATGCAAACAGTGGCCCCCTGGGAAAGGCTAAGTTCACTAATGACACAAACTAAAGCCCTGTGAAGTGTCATCCTCCATCTTTCCCTGCCGGTCACCACGCTCTGAAAGGCAGCCGAGGGCTGGTGAGGAAGCCCAGGGAAGTTTGAAGGATGTGGAGAAAGAGGCTGTGGGGTAAGCAGGGAAGAATAAGGAGAGAGACAGAGAAGACTCTGGCGGTCTGCCTCTCCTCTTCCTTCTCGCCAAACAAGAACACTGACAGACGGCAAGAGGGAGGCCTGCAGGTGGGCACAGGTGTGTAACTGGCAGGACCATGAAGAAGGGAAGGGGAAGCCAGGCCTGGAGCCAAGGAGGCAGCAAGAAGCCCCAACTCGAGCAACCTTGGACAAGAACAAGGAGAAACCAAAGAGTTTCTTTTACTGCACAGGGGGCAGGACCCTCCTGGGAACCGGGAGGAGTAGCATGGAGCAGTCAGAATGCCAGGATGGCCCCGAGCTCCTGCATCAAAGGGTACAGTCTGGGATCTGGGCAGAGGTCCTGGGTCACACCTAGGGAAGATGCAGACGGTTCTGAATCCAGGCCACAGAACGAAGGGCGCACCCTGAGAGCACAGGGTTCAGGGGCAGAGCCTGCAGGAGTCTCCAGTGCCTGCTCACACTTTAGAGCTCCCCTCTAATGTGAATTCCTTCCAAATTTAGAATCACCACGAAAATGACATACACACACAGAGGCCGCCAGAAACCAAGTCGCTTTTCTGACTGAGCCGCCCTGGGGTCTGGTCTCAGCAGTTGGGCTCTGGGTACCAGGACGCATGAGAGCCAGACCGAGAAGGGCCAGTTGCTCCGTGGCACCTGTCACCCTCTATCACTCTCTGTCCATTCTGTGTAACTCCAATGACTCCATCTTTTCTTAAATTACCTCAGCAAAAGCCTGGATTGGACCTAGTCAGGTGTTCACTTGGGCTCAGCAGCCACAGGTGGAGAAGGAGGAAGTCACAGTGGAGAGAGGCTCTCAAGTGAAAACTGCCCGCCCCATCCTCTCCCACCCCTGCTCCAGGGGGAGATACCCGGGCCTTCAGGCGGAACTTACAGTCCCTAACAGAACGTCCTGTAGCTGAAGGGCAAGGTACTATCTTGCCTCAGTTCACAGTCTATGGATAAAGTAGTCAGTCTTGCCCAACTTCAGCACCATCCCACACCCACCTCTGGTGCAAATGCCCTACAGTACGGCATTGCCTGGCTAAGGAGGAAAACTTGGCCCTGGGAAGGACTGCCAAGCTCTGGCGTTGGAGAGGAATGGCTTCTGACAGAGCCGCTTGAGACTTCCATGGCTGTGCCCGGGGAAGAACTAGGGTTTGGAGGACATTGAAGGCAGGAGCCAGGGCTGAGGATGGAGAACCAGCTATTAGACTAGAGCTGCAGGAGCCAAGGGCCAGCCTCAAATAGTGAATCTGAGACTAATTCAGGCTACGTAAGCCTCTCAAAAAAACAAATAGGCAATGTAGTAAAGTGAAATCTTACGTTCTTATTCAAGTTTAAAGACCCATTTGTCACCAGGGGTGGTGGGACATGCCTATGAGCCCAGATACAACCAAGACCCTGTCAAAGAACGGGGAGGAGGCTGAGACGGCTGGGGTGAAGAACATTGGGCTCGGTTGTCAGCTCACAACTCTAACACCAGTTCTAGGGGATCAAATCCTTTCTTCTGACCTGTGAGGGCACTCATGCACACGGTGCACAGACACACATGCCGGCGAAACACCCATACACAGAAAATCAAACTTTAAAAGTTAAAAAAATAGCGAGGTGGTGGTGGTGCATGCCTTTAATCCTAGCACTTAGGAGGCAGAGGCAAGCGGATCTCTGTGAGTTTGAGGCCAGCCTGGACTACAGAGTGAGTGCCAGGACAGCCAGGGCTACACAGAAAAACCCTGTCTCAAAAAAAAAAAAAAAAAAAAAAAAAAAAA